ACGTTTTATTTTCTTGTTTTGTATTCATAAATGTACCATCTCCCACCCTCCTCCTCAAAATCTGTTGACACCACTGAACTTACCAGTCCATCTTGCTATATCTTGTCCTGACTTTTTCTCTCCTTTCCTATCCCCCACACTGTGGGGCCCCTAAGCTTGTGGGAGCCTGCCTGAAGTTCTTGTCAGGACATGGGCTCTCTCCTCCCCACCCCCCGATCATTTACATCATACATTGTTGTACTACACCTCTTTTACTATATGCACTCCCCCACAGCCTTTATAAGTTGTATTTGTCTACCTTTATATAGTGTTATCTGTGGTCACTGTTCCAAAACATTTACACAGGTTACTAATGCAACTTTTATTTATTTCAGAATTCTTCTTCCTGTTAGAAGCTCGTAACATGCTTGCCCCACGGTACTTAACCATTCTCTTTACACACCAGGTCTCTGTCCTCTTCATCCACAAAACAGCTTCTAAAAATCCTTGTCACACAACTTTAAAGTATGAGTCACTTCCCCTAAACGTTAGAATACACAACCCCCTTTAGATTAAGCCTTTTTTTGCCAAATTCTGAAATCTGATTTGAAAAGCAATCTTTTTGATGTAGTTTTGTTGATTTAGGGTAAATACGACTGTATAGATACAAATGCTACCAGAAACACAAAATAACTAATTCTTAAAACATTTAGGCTGACCAGAATTTGGTGCCAGTATGCGTAAACTACATGTGATTGTCAACTTGTGGCTAAGTATACAGTTTGTGTAGTAAAAGTCTTATCTAAAAGTGTATGTGAGTGTGACCCTGCCTAGAGATTAGTAATAAATGCATTTTCACCATTACTCTCTGTGCTTTGCCAGCACATTCCCAACTGCTTAGCAGAACAATCCATAACGAAAAGAAAAAGTGGAAACCTTTCCTTTCTACCCCTCCTCCCCCCGCTCACACACACACACGTCCACTGCACTGCCTTCACTTTAAGGCATAACTTTCTTAGGTACCTTAGCTGTTTCCAAAAATCTTTTCTGGTGCAGTCTACACCTTAGCCTTAACAATAACATTTTATGTAGAGTATAGTATATAATATATATATATATATTATATATATATACTATTAGTCTAAACTTTACACAGTTATCTTTATCTTCTTAATTATAAGATGAAATTCAAGGATCTATTATCTAGCTACTTTTTCAGTGTTTTGCAAAAGGGCATCTGTCTAACACTATTTCACATTTTCAAATGTGGGTCAGTTTTCTTTCGCCTACTCTCAGGTTGCTGTCTTGAATCGTGTAAATCACATTTATATTTCTTTTGTTTAGAGTAGTAGCACAAAACCAACTTACATAAGCCATTTTCTGAACCAAAATTTTGTGTCCGTGGCACATAACCAAACTGAACAAATTATCGTAAACAATCTTATTGTTTCCACTACTGTATGCTGTCACTTGTGTCTTGTGACCACAGAGTTGGATGTGAAGAGGACCTGCTGTATATAGCTCTTGTTCCAAGTTAAACCCAGTGAATATCTTCTGCTCAGAGGGTCTTGTGATCACCATAGCAGGGGAGTATGTGGGAGTATGTAGGATTTTACAGAAGTTTTTTAATGCAAATTTAAGTCTTTTCCTAAAGTTCGTTAATATATTTATGCATTTAGCACACACTTATCCAAAGCGACTTACAAGTGGGGGAGGTGTCGTTAGGTGTTCCCTCTGGGAATCAAACCCAGGAGGGATCACCTAAAGACACATCCTGGTTAATAAATGATGATAAGCATGTTCTACATATCAAGGCAATGAAACAGGCAAACGATACTGTAAAGAAGTGAATGAGACTAGAATTTTAAAACATATTATAACTACTTATCAGAAATAGGTTAAAACTGGGTAATTAAACAAAACTTTCTATGTCTATCAGCACCCAATTGTAGCCAAACCTTAATTTGTCAGTGGAATAAAATATATTTATATATTCTTTGTAGTTCTTCTCTTTCCACAAACACCTAATTTTGTGTCTGGAGTTCCATTGTTATGGGATTTTCCAGGAATGTGACCATATTCAGTTATAAGTTTATAAGTTTGCACCCTTGTAAAATGACTCATGTTTATGAAAAAAGGAGTCATACTGTGTAAGTACCTGCATTACCTTCAAATGACGTTAATACATACTCCTCAGTTATATTTAAGTACTTCTAAGAATAAGGCTAAAAAACAAGAATAAAGCTGTCATATTCAGCAACATATTACTGACAGTTCCTTTGACAAATCCTGATGAGTACACAGTGCCTTTTTCTAAATATACTTCCAAATTGTGATTGACAGTCTCTACACATGGACAGACAGAGCACCTAGAGTGTAAGAACAGGAGTTAAATTGAATCTGAATGCAAACAGTGAATACTTGGGTCTGTTTGAAAACATTGCAAAACTTGAATATTAATAAATAGAGGATAAAGTAAGAAAAGAACATCAGTGATCGAAAGAGAGGCTGTACTGTTCCGTTCTTTACTCAATGCAGTAGAATTGTCATATTTCTAGAGAGGGTGTCAGAGGGCATTGCCAGAGCAGGGTGGCACACAGAGTTTACCAGCTGACATTGGCCACCCTGGCATTGCTGTGTCAGCCCCTGAAACAATGGCTGTCTGAGGTTTCAGTGATTTGGACTTGTACAAAGGAAATGTTGCCTCATATGTCATTATATTTGCATTCACTTTTTGAAGAGTTTTTTTTTTTTTTTAATTTACAACAAATTAACAAATTCACCTCGTCACCTTCACTGTCTCTGCCTGGCAGATTTTGAGGCCTATTTGTCAAATAGGCCAGAGAGTGTTTTTCCGAGCAGTTGACCTTTGACATATGATGATTTAGTCTGGTGTGAAGCATCTTGGCACAATAAGACACTGCATGTTTGTAAGCCGGAAGGAAAAATGCTCTTGGCATTAACCGGATTGACCTTTTAACAATATGTCTAGGTTTAAGGATGTCTATAAATGTTTACTAATCAAGTTTTAAATCTGTTTCTTTTCTGAACCTGTCCCAACACAATACCCTCACTTGTGAAATGTTTTCCATTGATTGTTGGAATTGCATTACTTGTTTATCCCCACAATCTCTTAACAAAACAAAAGAAAAGGTAATTATTCTGATCAAATAAACAGACAATTACTTCTTGGCACATTTATAGCAAATTAAAACCTCTATTTATAAATAAATAACCATCTATGGCATTGAATTTGTCTGTATATTTTTCAACTGCTTTACAGTTGACTGCTTTACAGCTATTAGAATTCTGCTTTAACTAAAAGACTTAATTTTAGGATAATGGTAACCGATTCTTCTGAAAACTAACATCTTCATTTTGTAAAGATTTCAGTGTTGCATGTTTAAGTTTGCCTACTTAAAAATATATTAGTTTAAATCATGGAACAACTGCTGTTTTCAGAAGAACCAAGGTTTGTCTCATTCATAGGAATGAAGCATTACATCATCCTTGTAGCGAGTGGAGTAACACTCTAAGGGCCTCTCTACATTTATTCTAATTCCCCTTTCAATCCTTTCAGGCCACGGTCATACTTTCCATGTTTCCTGTCCACATAGAACTTAATGGTGACCATGGTTTCATTTACACTTAAATAAGGGTCTGTGTCATCATTTTGCTTCACACGCATTTTATATCTCTCAATTAATTCTAGAAGTGTCATTATTTTTCTCATGTGGTACCCCTCGCCTGTCCATAAATTATCTTAATATTGTACTATAAGTTACTGTACAGTTTTAGGTACTGATGAACTTCAAATTAACCGGACTGGAGAGTGTCAAGCTACTTGGTACATGGACAGTTGCTTTGTACAGTCTTAAATATCATAAAATGATAGGTCGTTTGTTGTACATTCTATGCAGACCCTCAGTGATGCGTTGGGGCATAGCATAAGCATATTAAAATGGGCAGCCCATGATCACAAGACAAGATTGTGACAAGATTTGGTCACAAGATCAGGCCTAGGTTGTTTAGGTTGTTTTTGTTCTCAATTTCAATAAATAAAAAAAGTACCTTCACAGTTTTTATGTTTTGAACAAAAGGGTTTATAAAAACCCACTTATCTGTCTGTATTTTGCCCAGTCAAGGGAGTTAATGGTAACATTGCTGCTTTGTTTTGACATCTGGTCTTTTTGAAAGCTTTGCTGCATGCTGCAATTTTTAACGCAGATAAATCTTCAAGTTCCCTGCTGAGTTCGTTTCAACCAGAATTATTTAGTTCCTCACTTGTCTTAATTCACTTTTCTGGGATTAAATGAATGAGGACCTTGTGTGGTGTGATCATTTGGCAGTTGGCAGTCCATTCACACAAAGTAGCCATACACATTAAAATATGTCTGAACAGAAAACCAACATACATTACTTAAACATTTTAAGTTATACAAAAGGACAGTAGTGGTCGAATCCAACCAAAGGCAGGAAGTGAAGCTGGCCAGCAGGCTTCTGCATCCTGTCGCTATTTCTGTCTCTTTCCTAAGCTGTCGTACAGACCAGTTGATATTTATAGTTCAGGGCTCCCAACTGCCTACTGACTCAGACTACAATAGATCTCAGTGACCTCCACCTTATATAAAGCCATGTCATTAGAGGCCTACAAAGCTGTGTATTTGGAGAAAGAGTAAAATAGTATAATGACAGTATAGTGGGCTTAACATCATATCTGTGTTTTATATTTGAACACTTCACTGGACACACGTGTTCTATCTCTCTATTTGGTATTCCAGACACCTTTGCTTACAACAATTATAACGTGCAGCAGCAATCTCTGTGGTATTATTAGGTGATATTGTTAGTATTCTCAGGACTTAGAAAGGTTATCCATAAATGGTTGCTAGCTAGATACAGTACGAAATATAATTTTTTTAATAATAGTTTGATTAAAACTTTAAATAGGAGACTGGAAATAAATGGTGCCTGTATGAGTAGTAGGTTAAAAAGGTTGTTTTTTTTTTCTTCACTGACAGGGGTCATCAGCCAGTGGCAAAATGAGCCCAAGGACCGTGTCATCTCCCTTGTCCTTACACACCTCCCACTGCTCAAACCTGGCAATGTTGAAGCTAAGGGCGAGTATATGCGCCTGCTGCCTCGCATTCTGGCCCACACCATTGAACATGGACACCACCTTGAGGAATCTCGGCAGCTCCTGTCTTATGCTCTTATCCATCCAGCTACTTCCTTGGAAGACCGCTCTGCTCTGGCGCTCTGGCTCAACCACTTGGAAGAAAGAGCTGCTGCACGCGGAGACTCACTAGAAAGGCCTCCTCCTGCAGGGCCCCACCATCATCATCATCACCAATCTACACCGCCATCCACACTTAACACATCTGGATCCTCCTCCTCATCCACAAACACCCCTTCTTCAAACCTCTACTCCTTGCACCACCACCAGCGATATGGGTCAGACGATCGTCTCAATGGATGGCAAAGTTCCAGGGACACGGGGTTAGGTGGCGGGTGGCATCAGCAGCAGGGCTGTGAGAATGGGCACCTACTTCTCTACCCCTCATCCTCTGTGCCAGCAACCATAAACACAGTTGGAACTGGAGGAACTAGTAACACTGGTGAGTGAGATTTCATCCAAACTCTGTTTCTTGTATGTTGACCCACTACATTAATGTTTTCATGATATATTCATTTTACTGGATATTATGACATTGCACTTATAACACTAGTTGTTTTTCGACAAAGCCATTTTTGTTTAAATGATGGGTTTGATTCACAGTGATTCAGAAACAACACGGCAAACTACACATCCTGAGAAGACTAAACAGACCTAAAATAACACTTTAGTCAGATAAATTGTTATCTACACACCTACACTGCAAGCCTGCATAGTCTGTATAAGGTGCACGAAAACATGGAAAGGGCAGGGCTGTTAAAATCAAACATAACCATGGCCAGAGCAGGATATTTCCAGACAAGAATGCAAGGGATCTATGTTTTTTTCTTGGGAGATGAAAGAAACAGCTGAGGGTTTATAAATAAAGACACATTTAAAGCCCTGCTCACTGCTCTAGGAAAGACCCTCTTGTAGTTTTGACTGTAAGCAGCTTTGCCCCCTTCCCTTCCACAAAAACCTTAGGCTTTCACAACTGATAAACTTTAGTCACCGCAGGCAGTGGTGGCAGCAGTGATTTTCATGCGAACGTGGGTAAATACCTTAAATACAAAACAGACAAAAAAACAGTGATATGTGGACATTTCCCTAATGTACAATCTTCAGAGTCTATTAGTGTTTAGTGCCTGTCAATGTTAGAAATTAATTGTGGGGGTTTTTCTCTGTGGCATTTTGATTAAATTGACTGATTTCCAAAAATCTCAACTAATTCCTTTTATCATCACTGATTACATCACAACATCAACCTGAATACTGTCGATAGATCATCCCTGTGACTATCCCCACCGACACTGTAGTCTCAGCTGTAGCAGAACATACCACACTTCCTTTTCCTTGTAAGGTAGCCTTTGTGGCAGACTGTATTTAGGGAAAATGGCTAATATTTAGAGACTTGTAATGTTAGCTGGGCACCTATTTTAAACGGGGCCCATGAAGTCCTATACATAGCACCAACAGTAAGAGGACCGCATATAGGAGGAGAGAGACAGGGGTATTGGTGGCAGCTTACCAGGTCAGAGTGGCAACACAAAAAGCTTCCTAGCTTTTCACACTGTTCACAGCTCTATAACAGGGGATAGCTCCACTGCCATCACTTCTTCTATTTAAACATTCAAAAGCTTTCATTTTGTTTTATATTATATTGTACTTCTTTAAGCATCTGTAGCTCAAGCATGTTAATAAATATTATATTTATAAACTGTATGAAACTAAAATAGGTGTTAGAAATTAAACTGTTTTAAATGAGATGTCTCTATAAATCTAGAAGAGTCTCATGTCTTTAAATCAAATATAACTAATATTAATGACATTTAAAAGCAGATGTATGATTGAAAAATGTAAAAACTTTGAACTTTTCTACATGTACTTTGTTGGTGGGTTTGTGGGCCGGTTAATTAGATTATAGCCAAGTGTGCCATTAATACTTGGTAATGTCTCAATTGAAATAAATACTTATATTTTGTAAATGGATGAATGTTGTGATACTGCTCCATTTCTTTTGTTCCTTTAACAGTTTATAACAGTAAGTGCTTTTTTCTGAAAACCTGCTCTTACCTGACTGATCTTTCTTCATAGTCCTAACAGGTGGAGGGGGCAGCCAGCAGCACAGTCCCCTGAAGCGCTCTGTGTCCCTAACACCTCCCATGAGTGGTCCCAGCAACCAGCCCCTCTGCCATGTCTGGCTCTCACAGGAGGACCTGAGGCCTGCTAGGGGCCCTGCCCCAGACCATGCACCTCTGTCTCCTCAGAGCAGCATCGCTTCATCCGGCAGTGGAGGCAGTGAGCATCTGGAAGACGCTGGCTTAGGAGGAGGCTCAAGTCTTCATCGCATCTCCTTCCATGAGGAGGGCAGTGGCATGAGGGGTGAGTAAGATTACAACAAATAGTTAGTAAAGGTAGTTTATATCTCATATATACCAAGTGTATTAGTTTGTAAGGTTAATTCTCACATCCCACTAAGCAGGCTTTATAGTGCACCATTGGATAAACCTTAATAAAACCTTAATTTTTTTTTTTTGACCTGTCTATTTCATGGTTTTGTCTTTGTCTGAATTTGTACCTTGGACTTCCACTTAATGTTTATAGACATTAATTTTGTTAATTAATTAGATATTTTAACTATAAATTTTGTTAATTAATTAGATATTTTAAATGATATCCATTGATATTGTGCTTCTGTATAATGCTAACTTGATTTTAAATTCAAACTTTTTAAGAACGTGCTCTCACTTCAGGCCAATTTCCTGTTTTATTATTATTTTGATGTGATACTACAGTATGTTTGGTTTTGTTGTGCAGTATTGTGATATAATAATCTAGTAGAACTTATCAGTCTGACATTTTTTTACAGACAGGCTGTTCTCATAGTAAATTAACAGAAAGAAGGAGGTGGCTGTTAAGAGTTCTAAACACATTTAGCTGGAAGGTTATCTAGTTATCTAGCAGGTTAGTTCAAACTTTTGACCCTGTGTTCACTCCCTTTACGCCTTTGGTAATCCAGTTAAACAAGAAAGGAAAATATACACCTCTGATTGGTGTCAAGGAGAATAGTAGAGTAGTAGTAATAACAGTAGAGGTTTAGTCTCTTCAGGTTTTACATGACTTGTCTGTTATATTTTATTGACCTATTTAAGATTGTAACAGAACTAACTCACTGCATGAGAAGTGTGACTGGGAGCAAGAGATTTTACACAATCAGATCTGTAAGTAAAGCAAAATTGTTACAAATACATAACAGTTGTCTGATGTGGATTTGTGGAAGTTCTTAGTCATTCAGGTCATTTCACTTCTAAGAAGTGCAGTTCAGGCAGTAAAAGACGTTTCAACAAATGCTGAAAAGACTTCAGCATCCTGACCTGCATGTGCACATATGCTGTCCCACAGATGTCCCAACATGGCTGAAGAGTCTCCGCCTTCACAAATATGCTGCTCTCTTTTCCACTATGACCTATGACGAGATGATGTCACTGACTGAGGAGCAGCTTGAAGCACAGGTTTGTAAATTAATAAAGAAAAAGAAAGTGTTGACATCTCTTAATTGAATCTTTTCGTCTGAAATGTCTTGTGTGCATTTGTAGTTTGCAAACATGATACTGTACAATTGTTAAATTCTTGAGTTATTTAAAATTTTTGGCCAGTTTCTTCCAATTTCCGATTGTATTACAGTTCTTCTAAAATATGTTTTTCTTTAAGTTTGATGTGATCCAGTTTAGCTTTATACTTAAACCCTGGCAAGATAAAGAAAAAATATATTTAATAAAAAATATCTGAAAATAAATAGCTAAAATTGGCACAGCATACCAAAAAGTTGTGTACTTCCTGTGGCTGCTGCTTAAAATGTGCTCTTCCTATAGTAGGCCAAACCTGTTGAATGACATCCAACAGAAATATTTCTTTTGAAGATTGCTATCCCAGTTACAAGTAGGGTGGTGAATTAATATGAATTCACCAAGTTCTATGATCGATATCACTTATCAGTCCGATTCCTTGTCGAGCATTTGGCATTCGATTATGACACGATAAAAACATTTCGTCTTCAGAAATGGTGTTAACATTAAAACTTGCAATTATCAATTTTTAAAAAAGTATTTTTTTTTATAATTAAGGTTTGTGAAAGGAACTTGAAGCAGCCTCTAAGTTTCAACATTGTTAATCAGGAAGTATTACTTTTTTTATTACATATAAATGTTTTTTCAGTGGATCAACACAATTCTTTTCTTCCAATAGAAAGTCACTAAAGGAGCAAGACACAAGATTGTTATCAGCATTCAGAAACTCAAAGAAAGGCAGCACCTACTGCGCAGCCTGGAAAAGGTCAGAGAGACTGTGTATTATTTCTTGTTGCCCCCCACTTAACCCTTTATCTTTATACAAGGATGACTTTTAAATATGGTTGTGTAGGCTTGTCTCATTTTAAAGTTGTACACAAATCTCATTCACCACACAAAGCATGACGATGATGCTCAGTGCTAGAACATTCTCCTGCTCTTCTAAATTCAGCTAAATGTAGGCCTAAACCTTTCACAAGGATTTTAAATTGAAATCTCTTACTACATTATTTTGTAGTTTGTGTTTTGTGAGTTCTGTTAGTTTCTGTTCATATAACACTACACTGGGTTGTATCATCTTAGAAGCTGTTAGTTTTTCTTATTTTCTAGGTTTAGGCTCCACGAGTGAGCAACAAAAGGTCGTACACACTTGTTAATCTTTAACTAGAACAAGCTTTGAGCTTTTGGCTGAAATGCAAACTGTTAGAAGTGTTAGCTGTGAGTTTATTTCAGTTGCTGAAAATCAACTATAATAGTGTTGTCTGTAAAAGTTTGTAGGTGTTTTTTTTTTGTTCTCTTTCACTCTTTAACTAAGTGCTGTTCAGTATTTGATTTTCATCACTATTACGTCTGCTGTCTAGATGGATTAACTCTTTTTTATGACTTTTTTTCTTTTCATGTCATTTTGCTTTCTATTATTCTCACTATCAGGATGTGTTGGAAGGCAGTAATCTGCGTGGTCCACTGCAGGAGCTACATCAGATGATCATTACTCCAATTAAAGCTTTTGTTGGTGGTGAGGAAGGCTCCCTTCATCGCTCCCTGCTTGGCCCCGATGTCAAAAGCAGTGCGCCTGGCTCCCACCTGAGCAGTGGTGGTAGTGGGGAGGCTGAGTCAGGCACAAGCGTAATTGCTGAAGGGGATCTCCCTGGCCAGTTTACTCGTGTTATGGGCAAAGGTTAGCACTTATGTACCGGTATTGAATTTGAATTGTATTCATAAACTAGGAATTTTTTATTTATTTTTTTTACATTTTGTTTCATTCTCAGTTTGCACTCAGCTGTTGGTGTCTAGGTCAGATGAGGATAACATCAGTTCTTACCTTCAACTCATCGACAAGTGCCTTATTCATGAGGTACCTGGCGACACATCAACGCGTACTGTACAGCACATACAACACCAGGAATCTCCTATTAATGTATTATTCTTGATCTTCTCTTGATCTTCTTTTACGTGCTTTTAGTCTTTCACTGAAACACAGAAAAAGCGGCTCATGTCATGGAAACAACAGGTTCAGAGGCTGTTCCGGTCCATTCCAAGAAAAACCCTTCTTGACATAGCAGGGTACCGAACCCAGAGGAGGTACTGTACTAAACACAAACTCACAATTGTAATTGTGAGTTTCTTTACTTCTGCTACTTCCACGTTTGGACCTTAGCAGCGTTAGAAGAAGTGAAAAGCCAGAAACAATTACATATTTTTGAAAACTGTTTTTTTCACCTTATATTTCAGTCGTTTTGGCCAGTCCAATTCTCTCCCCACAACTGGTTGTGTTGGGAGTGGTGTTTCCGCCAGAAGGAGCCTTCGCCAATTCCAGATGCCCTCAAGAAGTTTGCCAGGTGCTCGGCTTGGTCTGTTAGGAAGTGGAGGGTTATTGGGATCCACACCACGCAGCTCCAGCAGCACTCCTACTGGTCCTAAACAAGGGAGACAGGTGAGAGAAGCCAAATGAAAGTAATAGTGATAAAGGTTACAGTCCACTGTAATCAGACTCAAAATGACAACTTATACTTATAGCTTTTACCTTTACTATATACACTATAGACACTTATTAACTTGCATCACAGTGATTACAGGGCTCACATAAGACCTGTTGTCCAATATATGGTGTGGTCTACTATATACATAGTTTTACATTTGTTGTGATTAAATGCTGATATGGCTGTACAAAGAAACATATTGAAATGTGTAATAAGACATCCCTGGGTGTTTACAATAGCCAGGGCAGCAGAAATCCTTTGTTGACACGTATTGTTCCTGAATTAGGATTTTTATTCCATTACGCCAAAATGTGGGGTGAGGAAGAGGAGCTGTGGTGGTGTTGGGCGTATGGAGTGAGGTGGAACTCATAGGCAGGTCACCCCACATACCAGAAGTTCTGCGTCAGTGCCTAACACTGAAGCGGGAGGAGCTGTGTAGCTCAGGCCCATCATGGCACACTGCTCTGGGCTGCCCCAGCTCAAAGTAAACCTCTCTCTTCCTTCTCTTTTCTGTCTTTCTTCTACCCTTACCTCCAACCCCCTTTTTCCTCTTTTTTCTTTATCTCAATCTTATTTTACAATAGGAGGAAATGCCTCAACTCTTCCTCATCATGCTGGAGCTTCTTGTGTGGGACAGGAGTGTAGAAGTGTTGAGATAGAAAAGAGAAGAAGGGTGGGAGGGAGTGGGACATAAATGAGTCATAGTTTGGGAGAGGTATCTGTGGTGTCAGAGGAGGAGGGGCAACAAGAGGAAGAAAAAAGAGTGTGTATGAGTATGTATGAGAGAGGGAGAGTGAGAGAGCAAGTCAGAGGCAGTGAGAACAGTGCACAGGCATTTCCTGTTTTTCCCTGGCCCACGGCAGTGGAGAGCCACGAGAGGGGGTTGAACAGAGGCAGGGGAAAAAAAAGGCATTGGGGTGTTTGAGAGGTGTAGAGGACTATAATAGACAGGTATGGGGAGGAATTCATGTGGTGAACAACTGAGACTGTCATTAGGTGTGGACCAGACAGACTGTGTGTGTGAGTGACATTTTGATCTATAAATGTTTAAGCAGCATATGAGTAGTAGGACACAGCCTAGACCAAAGTATTAGTTTAGAGAAACATGACTTTTATTTTTTATGTTATAATTATATTCATAAACAAATTATACCAAGGACATTTTAAATAGAAAAGAAAAAAGTCTTGGAATTTTGATACCATATGCAGATCACACTTGTGAAGCATTTTCCACACTTTCCATTATAATACTGACATGAAAATAAATGCATAATATAAATAACTGTCATTAATCAGGAATTGATTTCAAAATGTGTACTAACTTGTAAATTTTTACTTTATATTGTTGTAATCTACAACCTGACATTAAAACTTTACATTACATTCAAAAGACAGCAGCAGATGATAACTTTCACCACACAACTTCAAAAATGTTTTTGATGACTTTAATCTAATGTTGTGGTTTGAATATTCTCTGCAGGGTTTGTGGTTTGCCAACCCTGGAGGAAGTAACAGCATGCCCAGTCGGAGCCACAGCTCAGTGCAAAGGACTCGCTCCCTGCCGGTTCACACCACACCACAAACTATGGTCATGTTCCAGCAAGCTGGTGAGAAATACTAAAAATTCACAAAAACATACACACAGACAGAACTTTCAAAAGCTGTGTATGTTTGTGGCTATCAGTTCCTTTTGTATGTGTTAGTGTAATTTCTTTCCCTGTGAAAACATTTCTCTCTTTAGTTATTGTCAACTTAAACTTCACCCATTGGTTTGTTTCCCTTATAGTCATTATGTTCACTTTGTCATGGCAAATATCAGCAAAATGACCTGCAGTAGCCTGTGGTGAGGAGACTTTGTCCCACAGGAACAGTGGACAGTAGTATGACAAGCTAGGACTTCCTTTGCTCTGTCTGACATGCACACACACAGACACTCATGAGTAGTAGAGGAAAACAACTTTAAACAGAAGCAGAGAGAAGGGAAGTTTGGAGGAGGGAAACTGTACGTGAGAAAGGAAGAGATGGAGGCAGGGAGGGAGGAAAGAGTCAGAGGAGCCTCACAATAAGGCTCTTTGTGCAGTGAGGACGGGGCACTGTGGCCCAAGTCCTTCCTTTCCTCCTCACCCTAACTCTTTCCTTTTTTTAACTTTCACATTTCCCTCTGTCTTCTCTGCTCTCTGTACTTTTGTTAGACCCACCAACCCTCTTTCTAGTTTCAATGCTTTTCAGAGTTATGCTCAGAAAACACCATCAACAGCTACGTCCTAGGCACACAGCCTCCACTACCATATATGCTGTCATTACACACATACACATAAGATCTACACATGAACATATACACATCACATACAGTATATACATAGGTAGGTGTGTGTGTTTGTACAGTACACACAGATTACTCCATTCTGCGTGGAGCTAAGAATGATGGGATTCGGTGTGTGTGGTGTCTCTTTTTTTAGTGGATGTCTATGTCAAGTTAAACGTGCTTACGGGGGGTAAAGGGTGGAGAAGAGAAGAGGGGTTGGAAACTCTAAACAGTGCAGTCTGGACTACTGACTCTAAGTCAGCTTTTCCCTCAGACCACAAGGGATTTTCACTCCCCAACTCATTTTAAAGACTGAGGACTGACTGGCTGGCTGGGGTTGCTAGGTTGTACTGTGTCCCAAATATACACATCTTAAACCTCCCCTTCATCAACACACACATAAACATAAATAACAATAATAACAACAAATAACTGAGTCAATAGTAAAGTTTAAATTTGATGCAATAATAACTATTAATTTATGAATGAAGTGTTTTATAGACACCTGGAGAAATCATCATTGAAATCTAACAGACCATTGCTGTGTTCAGTAACAATAATTGAGTCAGTAGAAATCTGTTAGAGAAAATGTCTGTGTTCAGTAACAATAAGTCAGTAGAAATCTGTTAGAGAAAATGTGATGTTATGAACTTAGAATTATTTATGCATTGTATAAACAAGTGTTTTAGTAATTGTTTGTTTGTAATTACCTTTCTTTAAGTGTACTTCAGGTATAAGAAGCATAATGCAGTTATGTTTAATATTTTTACATTAACATGACAAAGAATGTGAGTTTGCTAATTGATAATCACACGGTCTCTGTCTAGTTCCGGTCCCATTCCCAAGTGAAGAAGGCTGTGTCAGTAGAGTACATTCGAATTTTTATTTGTGCACTCCAAATGTGATTTATCTGATAAACCCCCATTGCATGTAGAAGGTGGAAGACTTCTACATGAAAAAAAGTAACAACATAAATGCAAATCTTAAAATTAAAAATAAATAGGCAATACTGTTTAATTTCAGTTGTTATACGCATTAGCATTGAAGTAATTTTTCCGAGCATGTAGATTTGCACATATTTTTCATGTGTTCAGGTGTTTTGATGCAAACAGTTATCATCAACATGTTTGATGTTGTTCTTTGTGTGTTTTTGTTATTGCACAGATCTTCAGTTACCAGTGACAGAGCCGGACATCAACAATCGCCTCGAGTCTCTGTGCCTGAGTATGACAGAGCACGCTTTGGGAGGTAACACACTTAAATTACTAAAGACACCGTTATGTTGCGGCACTAATATTGTAAATTGATCCTGTTTTAATTTATGTTTGTGAATGGTAATTTATAACAACCGGGACCTTTCATGTTTTGGTCTGAATATGAAGAACCGGATTTAGTCGTGTGCAGGTATGACTGACATGTGCATGATAGGTCGCATCAGTTGAACTAAGAGTTGTCTATAGGTTGACTGGCAGATGTAGATGTTGTGTGGGGAAACAAGGCCCACTGATAACTAAGGGCTGGTTGGAGCCCAGCTGTGGTTTTTCAGGTGTGTTTAGTTTGTGTCTGGCCAAGAATGTCCAAAACTTTCCATGTTTGAGGTTTGACAGCATAATTGGCAACAGCTCAGCTGAGTCCACCTCAGAAAAGAAACACAAAAGAAAATGCTGGAGGGAAACCGGTTTTGAATGTTATATGCCGGTTGACGCAAAAGAGAAGACAAATAGAAAAATCAACACATCTTTTTTTCGTCTCTACCTATCTGATGCATATTCCCATGTAAGCTCATTTTTATTATTTTTGACTCTGGGTTTGAGTCGGTCCCAACTTCCTTCATTCGTACACTAAGCTAAGCTAAAGACAGAAGGCCTCAGTGCTCACTAAAGTAAAGTGGACACAAAGTGCTGCTTTGTGTGTGCAGAGAGCAGATCGGAGCTGTTGCAAAGTGCAGTTAACTTCTGGAAATTTCACGCAATTAGAGCTTTCCTTGCTGTAAAAAACATCAGCATGACGGTGCCTAAACCCAACCAAAGATATTTTAGTATGTTTGTTGTTTGACCATACTGTGATAAAGAAAGTTTTCTTTTTATTTTAAGAAAAATACAAATGTTTTCTAAAAGTAATCCTAGTGGGATAAAACCACAGGTGCACTAAAATTTCTTAGGCCAAGTTGTTGGTTTCATTTTGTCAGTGGATAAATAGGAAGACAGCCAGTTCAGTAAATACATACAATCAAGGAAAGCCAGGCAACTTTCCATTGCAGGTCTGATGACACACCTCCCCTTTTGCATCACAATAAAGGTTCTTTCTATGTTGAATGAATTGTCAATCTGTGTAAAGTGTGATTTTTTTTTATTTACGCATAAACCAATGAATGCAGCTGTCAGACAGTTGTTTTTCTCTGGAAAGCTCCATCAGTATTTTGACAGATGTGTTGTTCTTTCACTGTGACAGTGTGGGCCAGGGCCTCTCACTGTTCCATGAGATCAAAACAGTGTCTGCTTCTCTATACAAACAGCTCATGGAAGAGCCAGGTCTCTGTTAATCAGCAGTCATACTTATTACAAACCTGGGCATGGGACAGGAAATCTATTTTTTTACATAAAATAAACATAAAATAAATATAATGTAATGTCAAAAGTATTTCAAAGCCCGTTCAAATTAAACTATAGCAGCTGGTAGAATTACATTAAAGAAGGTCAATGGCCAAATTTGTTATTCAGGATTCAGGATCACAAAAAAGCCTGTCCCAGCAGGCAGATGATGAGAAAGGATAACGTTGATTTTTTTCTCGTACACAACTGGATTCTTGATGTTGCAATAGAATGTTCTCTGTGTAATTTTAACACACACACAAAATGTACTCCTCTTTGTTTTTGCTTCTCAGACGGAGCTGACCGCACATCAACAATATGAAAGGAAGAGTCTAACAAAAGTGATAGGTGGCAGCAAGCAGGTTCACCAGGCTCTCTCACGATAAGGCATCATGAGGTCGGAAGACGTCCAGTCTCACTATATCCAATGGTAGAGCTCAACCAAATAACCGACAGGTTGCCAAGAAACCACAAGTATGCTGATCTTCAAACAGCAACACAAGCTATTACACTGGCACTGTCTACTGGTTTGGAAAACCAAACTTTCTGCTGCACCAGCAGGATCACATTCACCTACATCTGGGTAAGGAGACAGAAACAACTGTCAACAAAACAGTCCTGGACTGTGTGGGTGCACAACGGCCTCTGGATGTTCCAAAAGCTCTGCAGTCCAGTCAGCTAAAACAGGAGGAGGATGCTGACCCTGTGTCAGGGCTACACCAATGGTTTTCTTCTCACCAACAGCTTTTGGTCTCTGCACATTAATCACAGCTCAAAGCATCTTTAAAATCCATTACTATACCACAGACCCGGAAAAGAAAGAAGACAAGCAGAGCTAAAAAAGGACACAAGAGGAAGTTTGGGATTTCCTGGATGGTTTCCAGAAAGGACAGACTATCCGGACTGCTTTCAGAGGTTAGAAAGGCCTCTATTACAGTATTGGGTAGCTACAGAAACAAATTTGTTGTTTGTACGAATTGTTTACATAAAGAGGCTACTTTTAAAGGGTACAGAGGAGTATGAATTTCAGGTATGAATTGTAATATTCTGTCAACCATCTTTTTATCTCACAAGTAGCTTTCACGATAGTTTACAAACATCCTGCTTATGCTCTTGGGACAAAAACAAAGACAAATTTGATGCAACACGAACAGAAAACAACAGGAGAGGAGAGTGATGAATAAAAAGGAAAAAAGAAGTTGATGAGGAAGAAGAGCTGGAAGAGTAGGAGGTGGTGAAAGAAAAAGAATGTAGTGCAAGAAGGAATCACGTCATGGTGATGCTGGACAGGAAGGAGGATGTTGGAAGGATAAAGACTTCAGAGGCAGGACCTTTGATTGGCTAGGAGATGGAAGATTATAATGTCTAACTTCATTGTTGGTCTGTAAAATAGAGCAGATGTAAAAGAGAGGACAAGGGAAGTGTGTCGTCGGTCACCTATGTATTGTTTTATCTCCAGCATGTACTGTATGAACCCTCTGAAATCATATTTCTTTGTACACCTCAATGAGCTGTTTTTGATATGCTGGTTGTATTTTTATTGGGATTGAGTTTAGAAAGAGGGTTTACTTATTTTTCTAATGCAGGCTAATGTGCTTAAGCTGCACGTTACACAGCTCTATGTCTCTGTCAGTGAAAAGAACGATTGTAAATCAGGAAAAAAAAACACAGAAGGGTGATTTGTTCTGGTGTTGCTGATAGGTTGTATCACTGAAAAAAGACAAAAGTATCAGTCCATGAAGGGTGGTTTTCCCAGAGATTGTATCATTAGAGCTTACTTCCCCCTGCTGGCCAAACACATTAATGGCAGAAGATCGCCAGAAGACCACGGACACAGGAACATTTAATGAGGAATAGAGTACTGGGTTTAGTCGTCCTCAAAAAAATAGCCTGTGTTCCATAGTTTTCTCTCTATCCTGTCAGTTGAGGCCTCCATACATTATAATTTTGTTTTTAATCCTGTATCAAATGCCTATTCTGTGTCTTAATATATATCATCAGTTTATTATGTATGTAAAACAGAATGTAAACAAATCAGCTTATATTGAAATAAGCTAGAGAGGAAACTCCTGTCTGTGACTCTCACCTTAGCACGTGTGCTAAGGGTCCTGATCCTAGATGGTCATTATTGAGGGGTTTAGTATTGTTTTTGTTGTTGTTGTTGTTTAGTTTCCTGCACTTGTTAAGACAATGTGATACACTAAAAATCCAAAGGTTCAAGGCTCAGATACCACGGTCTGGTGCCTTGGAGTTGGACTAAATGAAGCAGATCGGAGACTGACACTGAGCCTCCAAGCTCAGCAGACAGAAAAGACAAATGTCAAGCAGCAGAACCACCAACAGGGGACAATGTTTAATCTTACAGCAGAGACGAAACACTCCTGATGACTCCCATTAGCCTCACTGTCCTGTTGTTTTGTCAGATGGTTCTGGACCCACAGCTAAATTAAATTGTTTTAGCTAAAACGGACATGGCATTTTTGTAATCATATGGTTTATGTGATTGCTTTTGACACAAAAGACCAGATTCAGTTCATATGGTAGCACATTACAAATGTTATTTTTTTACGACTTGCAAGATGAATTCTACACTACAGGGTCATTTTACTTAAGACACAGACAAGAGGGGTGATTTTATCATCCTTAATAATAATAATGCTGGTTTATTATTTACTATTGGTTATCTGACACTAAGCAACTAACTGTTGCAATCGTACAGTGTTTATTAGCATAAAAAATCATTTTCAGAAGTAAATCTGTGGTTTCCTTAACATGCAGGAAGTCTTCTCATATGCCTTGATGGAGTCAAAACAAATCATGCCTGACTGATGAAATGGCTTGAAGGGGCAGTGGGGATCTGTGTGCGCACACACACAGGCGCACACATAGGCTGAACTGTGTGTTTTAGTGTAATTTATGCCTCTGCCTTTCACATACAATGGTGATAACATGATGTTCCACCTCTAAGGTTGTGTCTGGTTTTGCTGCTCCTGTCTGAGAGGCAGTACAACGATCTCAACATCTTTGGACTCTATGCCATATGAATCAGTACTTAAAGTAGTTACAATTATTTATTCTTTTTATTCATCTGTTCATTTTTGTGTGTTTATTCAGAGGCGCTACTTCTAATCATTTAGGTGTAATGTTATTTAAAGTACCATATGTATTAACATGTTATGGCTGGTGACCATACGTACATCTCAAATATTAACATAGTTATTGTTGATTTTGATAATTTTGGGGTTTTTTTCCTGTTGCTGAACTATTGTGTCGTTTTATTTTATTTTTTTTATCAGTGTCAATTTCAGAATGTTGATGTACATTTTTGGGGGGTCAGAATCAGCTGAAAGCAAGAGTTTGTCATCTGAAATACATCCATTTACTTCCAGTTTGAAAAGTCACATCAGACAAGCCATTGGTAACAACGCAGTGTTGTAATGGTGGTGTTTTTGTCAGCCAGGATCTAGACAGTGGTGCTGCTTGTAACACATCCCAGCCTTACAGAGGCTTTAAGTGTGATACTTACAGTTGTAGGACCAGCTTTAGCTTTGGTCTTTTTGGTCTCAATTGTGAACAAAATCCACCAAAGACTTTGTCTTTGTCATATACAATGGCCAATAATAATCACAGTGGACTCTAAAAATATTCTGAAAAATAATTATTTATTATTTTACTCCAGTGTGGTTATTTTAAGTAAGGCTTGTCTTTGTTTTTGTTGTTGTTGTTTTTTTAATAGTCAAATTAAGTGAATGTCTTTGGTAATTTTGAAACAACAGTGTGAGTGAGACGTGCTGCATCAAACACATCAATGTTCAGACAGAAGTTGGTTTGGCTTTGGTTCAGCTCTTGCATGGATTTTGGTAAGAGAACAGGGCAGAATACTTCAGCAGATGTTTTCACATGACTCCTGAAAATGATTACGGCTGCAGAGTATTTAACACAATCCAAGGGATTATTCTGGCAGTACTGTTTCTCATTTCACCTGTGTAACTTTGTGTAACCAGTGACAGTGTTCAAATGGCTGATGATGTGACTTTTTCTTGTCTGGATGGAGTAACTGAGCAGAGTGACATGTTTCACATTTAATGTTCAAACTGGCTCCAGTTTCTTCTCTCCTCTGGTTTCCTGCAGTGTTCCAACTTCTGAATGTGGAGCCTGTCACAGGACAAATGTGGGTTTCATCCGTGAGACCTGAAATACTAAATGTCGCCTCAAAGCCAAATGCTTTTTCGTTTGTTTTATTTTCTCTGATTGCATATCAACTCTGTGCCTGTCGAGGAAAGCTTCTAACGCTATGCACACTGCAGTATTAAAGTTAGATACACCTTGATATTCCAAAAAAAACCCAACTGTTTAATGTACTTTGAGTCAAGACATATATGCTGTTTTGTATCTTTTTTTGTCATAGATGTTTGCAGTTATTGTTTCAATATGGGATGCCAGGAGTAATTTGTTTTTGTTTTTTTCTTATTTTTTTAAAAGGTGTTACCGCTTGACTGTGCTCATTTTTTTTCATTTAGTTTTATTTTATCAAAGAGCCGATGTCCTGTATTGACTGCAGGCTTACGTATATATTTGACAAAAGAAAATGGTATGTTTAATAATAAAAAAGCACAAAAAAGACAAAAAATGGAAGAAAATGTTGAAAAAGAAAAGGAGGGATTTTGGGAAAAAACTGTAATTTATATTTTAAAACTGCATGCACAGGGCTGAGAAAGTCATATTTAGAATAACAAATGGCAGTGCCTTTTTTTGTACTCGAGACATTTATCCTAAATGTTAATGGTTTTTTATTGACTTTAAAAAAAACTGTACTGTTAGGGAATGGAAATAGTGAGGAGCAGGATGGGTCACATTCACACTTCACCTCAAAAGGTTGCCTTCCATGCTTTGCCTTCACCCACCCCATTGTATCATATTATAAATCTGATGGAAACGTTTTTTCATCATGAGATCACTGAGCCTTAATCCATTCAACCCAATCTGCTGGTTTCATCTGTGTCAGACCACCCTAATAAAAACTGCAACTTCAGATTTTTCTTACAGAACCTCTCAATACTTTTATCACCATGTTATCACTACAGTACTTGAAACAATGCCTTAACAATTTTGACCATCTGTTCACCTGTAATTTCTGAAGCAGATGCAGAAAGTCACATGGTAGCCTGGCATCTTGTTACATAAATACGCATTTAGTTTGAAACATTTAAAAAATAGACATGCCTCAGTATTTAAGATTCGGAGAATATTTATTTTACTGTGCATGTTGAAAAACCATTCTTAAACTATCGCATAACAAAGGCTCAGAACAAATTTGAATCTGCATTGAAGGCAGAAGCTGAGGGTGTGAACGTGACCTGGACTGTGATTCAGACTGCCTGTGTTTCTGGTCTCTGTAGGTACTTTCCTAGTGCTGATATGAAGTTATGATTTATTCTGTACAAACACAATGGGAGTGAGTGTGTGACAGTGAGAACGGTGGATGTATGTGTGTGGGTGTTTGTAGGTGTATGTGAGATACTTGTGTGTTCAAGAGTTTGTTTTTTTTCACTGTGTCTTGTTATTTCCTTTTTTTTTCTTTTTTCTTTTTTTTTTTTTTTTTGCAACAAACCAGAATGCTGTGATTTGGCATGCCCTTCCTATACATAAAACGTCGTTATTGCGTGTGTGTTTGTGTCATTCAGTCTTTATAAAAAGTTAATGGATAAAATTGATCAAATGTCACCTGTTGACAGTGCCAGATTATGAGATTATAAATTATTTTTAAATAAACCAACCATAGCCCCCTTCTTAGGAAAATGTCAATGAATAAAATGTTTTTAGAACAATCCACTATTAGTTGTAGTTGTGTTTAACGGCAAATGTTTTTTCTAATTCCACAAAACCAGAAATCAAATTATAGCATCACAACAAAAAATAAACACTTGACGGTATCCTTGAGATTATAAAATTGATATCAAAGCATATCCATGCACTTAAATTAGTACAAAAAGATTAGGATCTTAAAAGATGAAGACACTGCCATACTACTATAGCATTAGATTTGGATAAAGATGGTCATTTAAATAAATAATACCATGGAGTATTTTTTACACAAACATCCTCTGGTGTTAAAATAACAGTGTGGTTAACTCTCACTCACAATAACTAAATGTATATTCAGTTAGTAAAACTCTTGTGACTTACGTGTGTAGTACTTCAGAGGTGGAGTCATAGCTGTCGGTGTTGGTTTGACCACCAGAGGGCACCCCTGTCAAAATTAAAAGATTGTACACCTTTATTTTAAAACAATGCGTAAAGTAAGTGATTTCTAAGTGACACTTGGACTTGTATTAATGAAGAAAAATTTATTTGATTCATTAAATATCTCTGTAGGTTGTCCGACAATAGAGTAGGGTGAAGAGCTGCAGCAATAGCACCGAAAAGGTACTAGTAGTTTTAGGACATTTGTTTTCAACAGCAAACTAGGTTGAAAAAAAGACTTATACATAATAGTAGTAGTATACATAACAGTAGTGAATATAAAAGAAGTTAAAGGTTTACCTTTATTTTAAATACACTGCTACATCAACAAAAATGACAATAAGACTGTAGTAAGTTTCACCTACCAGTAAAAGTTCCTCGCACATCAGTGAAGGCAGATGCCCGGGAGATCAGGCCTCTGACCAGGGTTAACCCTTAACCTCAGAAACATAGAAGTTTAGTTGTTATACTTTACAACACTGATCCTTTGACAACATGTATGAGTTCTATCAGACGTTAAACAGGTGGCTGGTTGACTCAGGGGAGAGTGACACACACTGTGGTTCAGGGTTTGAACCCCAAACCAGGCAAAAATACAAGCACATGAAACTAATATCATTATTAATTTTGCGACGGGAACTTCAGAGGGATTAATAAATTTCTATCTATCTCTATCTGATTAAAAGGGCTGGCTAACTTATCCCTCTGACATAATTGTAAAGTCTGATTAACCAATACCAGACTGGAGGAAGTACCAGAATGTGACAGATGATGTGTTGACTGTAAATTGGACCCATCAGCCATTAATTGGATGTAAAGACTGCAGTACAGTGTGATACCAGCACTGAAAAATATTTCAACTAATTAACAAAAGGTTAGTTACTTGCTTCAGAAGATGATGCCGCCTTCTTAACTTTTGTTTGCATTACTTGGTTGCTCTAGGACAGTGGTTCTCAATTGAATAAATCTGAAACATAGCATGTACAATTAATACAACATTTAAACATAAACTTTATCTTTATAAACATTTCTAAACATCTCTCCTGTGGTGGAGCTAACAGTGAAGGCCTCTGCTGCTATATTCTAATGTTGGTCATCATGGTGGTACTCAGAGAGCTCAGTGTTTTCTCAGGTGGTACAGAGTAGAAAAAGTTTGAGAACCACTGCTCTAGGACAACCAATGCAACAGTAAGGTAAACACACTCCCTCACCCTACAAATATGGCACTTTCAAACATGCATACAAATGCACTGAGCCTTTGAAAGAGTCTGAGGTATAGTCTAAAAATGTAAGCTGTTATGAAAGTGGACAGCTGCAGCTGCTGAGTCATTCTTCTGTTAAAGCTTTCCAGATCTCACACAGCTCCACCTCTTTGAATTTCGCAGATGACTTCTGATTGGATGAAGTCTCTGCACGGACCCTGAAGAATAAAGTGAAGTTTAGACAAATAAGCTGTGGTCTGATGAGTTCAGTGTTGTATTTCTGGTCTTCTTTGTCTTTACAATCACGTCCTTGTGCTTTCTGTAAGTTTGAAACGGCTCTCCTTTGTTTGGGGCCACAAGGTGGCGACAGTGGTCACTGTTCTTGACTCAAAGCGACTGATTCCTGTAGTTACTGACCAATCTCTACATGGGTTTTCCCCGGTACGTCAGTTACCTCCCACAGACAGAAACACGCAGGGTTAAGGTAAGTGTTCGCTCTTATTTGATGCTTAGTACAAATGTGAGTGTAAATGGTCTGCTGGACTGGTCCAAACCATCCTTGATCTACAACAGGGGTGGCAAACTGTTCCACAAAGGGCCACCGTGGCTGCAGGCTTTGGTTCCAACCTATCCAGAGCACAGTGACTGACCATTCAGCTGTCTGGGGATTCAGATCAGTCGATTAACAGAGCCAACTCAGGTGTGCTGCTGCTTGGTCGCAACAAAAACCTGCAGCCACAGCGGCCCTTTGTGGAGCACTTGGCCACCCCTGATCTACACCGTCCTCACCTGATGATGGCGGTGATTTGCTCGAGTCCTTCCTCCTGCCGCCACCACCTTGAAAAAAATAAATCGATAGAAGATGAATGAATGAATAAAACTCCAATCCAGGAAAGTGAAACGTTGTCGTTGTGACACAGCACACCACTGCACACAGCCAAATGTGACCTCTATCTTTAACTAATTTCTTTAGTGAGCGGGGGGGGGGGTCAGTGTGTGGGGACAGTGCTGTACTGACATACATCAGTACACCTCAGTGGAACTTGGTGGTTTCGAACCTGCGACCTTCCAGACACAAAGCGGCTCTTTGTCTGGAAGGTCACAGGTTCGAATCCTTAGCAGATAATTTCCATAGCTTGTGGCCATATTTAAAAGTTTGTGAACATTCGTTGGTGCATCAATTACAAATTCATTGTGTGGTGTCCATGTTGACTGGAGCCTGTAGAATAGCGTGTCCAACAGCACATCCAATATAAATGTATGCAGGTCCGTGTACCAGGTGTACGTGTCAACGCTGTTCAATCTCATTCACGTTGGCTCAACTCGAGCAGATGACAAAACGCAGTAGCATTCACAGCAGTTATACGTGACATAAAGAACCACATGACCAGTGCTGTCACATACAGTACTGATTTATTTGTTTTGATTAAAAAGTTTTTTAAAATGGACACAGTACTAGTCATGACTATGACAGTAGAGGCCAAAGAAAAGGGCCCCGCTTCTTAACAAGGCCACCAGAACAATGTCACAGCTTTTTGTCAGTGAGAACAACCCATCTAACACACACACACTCACCCACCTCCCCAGCCCTCCACCCACACACAGCATTCCTTTTAATCACATTACAGCAAAGTAAGCTTTTGGTTTCAATAAAGACTTATTGGCACAAAGACAAATGTGTGTTTTTTAATGTTTAACACCAATTCATTTTTTTTCTCTTTTCTGACTTATATTAGATTTAATAGGTAGTTAAATTATTGTAAATAAACAAAACACAAAACAAAAACACAATATATAAATTGATTTTCCAAAGGTGTTTAAAGAAACATGATCAGGACAATGATAACAATTACATTGGAGCTGCATTGTATGCTTATTATTATTTTATTTCTAATTGTCTTTTTCTCTTGACTAAACTGCGTTATTGTTTAATCTGTGAGGAAGCCACTCAGGTTGAATGACTTCCACCTAAAATTTTAAATATTATATTTTTGCATTTTGTAATTCAATGTGCACGATTAGAAAAAATATGATTTGAGCATAAAAAATAGATAATTTTTTAAGGTGAAGAATTGACTTATTCACTCTTCATCATACTGTACCACCTGGACAGTCTGTTACACTACTCAGTTTTTTTGGTTTTTTTTTAGAAATGTGTGAAATGGCAGTGTTGTCTATTAGATATTTTTAAATCTCAAATGTACAGACTTGGACAGGAGGACATGTGTAGGCACATACATGTCCACAGGACGCCACAGTGTAAAGATACTAACTGACAATGATTAGAAACATTCCAGGGTGAGTGGAGATATCCTTGAGCACCTGCATCAGTGCAGGACCAAGACCTTTGTGCAGTACTAGAGATCTAAAATGTACACAGTTTATTTATCAAAACTGGTCAAAGTGTTTGAGATCAGGACAGACATCCTTTCTGTAAACATCTGGCCTGTAACACATGTCCACACTGACGTTGTGGACAAACAGATGAGGTCTGTATTACAGGCAACAGGTCAACATCATCTGTCAGTGGGCTTTGATTGACTCCGCCCACACAGACGGAGAGATTGATTCTGACCCTAATATGAATGACACACCACAGTCAACTGAGATGGAAACACACACGCACAGGCACACATACACACACACACACTCATGCACTGGATAAACACATGCTCAATGCATTGGGAAGTAACCCAGGCAACTGGAGGTGAAAGAGTAGGATGAGAGGGAGAAGAAGAAGTTTCGTCCTCCTCCTCAGTTTCTAACCAGTCTCAGAAACTCATCGCGGGTTTTTGGATCTTCCCTGAAAACTCCCAACATTGTACTGGTAACAGTTGTACTGTTCATCTTTTGAACGCCACGCATCACCATACACATGTGGCTGTGAAGAGAGGAGAAAAAAAGAAAACCCAGAAGGGTGAGTACGGGAGGTGATGGTGACAGGAAGAAAGGGCAGGAAGGGAGATTAAAGGTGAAGTTAAAAAAAAAAAAACACGAAAATAAAAAATACAATTAGTGGGAAAGACAAAGAAGAGCCAGAGAGCAGGAGATAAAAAAAACAAAGATTTTAGATAGAAAGTGTGTGAGACATACGTGGCTTCAATAATGACACCGACACCAGTGGGCTGCAGTGCTTCAGTGATGGCCACAGCGATCTGTTTGGTCAACCTCTCCTGGACTGTGGACATGGACAGACAAACACACACAAGGTTAGAGGCCACTTATACACAAACACACACTCTTTTCCTGGTTCAGCGTCAGTAGATTCATCGCCATTTTCTAAATAAAACTACAAACCTGGGATCACGTTTGTAGTGAAATATATGAACGTGCCTTTAAATGGAGCTGACAGACAGTAACAGTCAACTTCACATTGACTTTCAATTTCCCAGGTCCATTTGTCTCTCACCATGCCACATGGTTGCTTAAATTTGTGTTGAATATTTTTCAAACAGGAGTAAAGAGTGAGCTTAACGCCAATCAAAAAAAAAACAGAATATAAATAAAAAAATAGGACTCAAACAAAAGAGGAAAGATGTCAGTCACAAAAGACTGAAATTGTGACAAAAGACAAGACAGCTCAAAAAATAAGACATTAGCCAAACATTACACAAACTGTCAGATAGACAGATACAACTCTTATTTTATTACCTTGAAGTCGCCTGCTATAAATTTCAACAATCCTGGAAGGAAAAAGAGATGTAATTAAATCCAAATATGACGCTCACAGACATTTCTTTCTTTCTTTCTTGACCTTCCACCAAAGACAGTGAGAGTGTGAATCAGCTTTGTGATGTAAATGTTGGACAAATTTGTGACCCGTCCCATGTCGGCAGAAATGTCAGAGGACAAAGAGGGCAGCACACTGTGAGGAAGGGCAGGACAAACTGGGCAGGACTGTTTGTAAGGTCAACATCTCTTTGAATAACCTTTTCATGTAGTGACATCACTGAAGAGGTTAGAGAACACTGTGATGATGCTCTGTTCTAAACCTCAGGTTGGAGAGTTCAAAACAGACTACCTACAAAACGCTGTATTTACTGTATGTGTGTATTTATTAAATGGACCCTGCTGCGCCATGATCTGGAAGCCAACCTACTGTAGGCCACCAGGGGGAGGACTACTGTGAAAATGTTCCTTGGGTTCCAATGGTCGTGGAGATGACGGTAAATAAAACATGATCATGGAATAAAACAAAAGAAACATGTCGCTGACTTGGTAAATAAAATCCCACAAACGAAGACATGAATTCATTCATTCATTCATTCATTCATTCATTGGTGAAACGTGTTGACTGACTTTGTAAACCCTGTTTTCACTCGTCATAACGTCTAAATTCACTTCCAAGACCCACTAAGCATTTCCCCACAGGTGACTACATCCACTTCCACCACACTCTATGATGCTGCACATGCTACCATCCAGGGGGAGTGTGTACCAGGCTACTCCATACAGCAGCCGACAGGGAGATTTGTTTTACTGTTAATTATGCGAAGGGTTTAGCTGCTCTCGTCACCGTGTGTTTGTCTGTGCATGTGTGTGTGTTGGTGTGTGTGTGTGAGATTAGCTTAAAGGTATTGGGGTCAGTGGGATCAGATTCCACACTAGCAGACACACAAACACATGTTTTAATAATCAGCTTAAACCTTTACTAACTTTCTCTCTCTCACACACACACACACATACATACACACACACACACACACATACCCACACAAGGACCATATTAGAGTACATGTACTCACCTGGCCAGCTTACTAAGTCCTAGTACTCGCTTATTGGGGAGGTAACCAATGTGAACCTATAGATACACAAACATTGAAAAACTTTGAATGAAACAGTAAGAAACTTTAAACTCATGTTCAGTGGACAAAAAATAAAGGAAAAATGACAACAGAAAATAACAAAACAAAACACGTGCTCACAATGACTGAGGTTGTTGTTCTGAGATCCAACTCTCATTTCAGATTTAAACCGAAACCCCACTGAGAGCGCATGTTACAGTCAAACTGAAGTCACAATGAGGTGTCGTTGATTCAACACAACACTGATCACTAATCCTGTACAGGGTTATTGGATAACTACTGAGTAGCACGTCAGGCAGCCTTTAAGATACTGTCCCCACTTTAAGATACTGTTGACTCATTTACTCATGACATTACTTTCAAATTAGAATTCATCCTGGTGGCTGCTGGCGTTGGGAAGCTGTGGCACGCACGAGGAGAGAGGAGAGAGGAGGATAAGAGGGAGTCATCTGCTGCAGATTGGGAACGCTTTAGACGACTGCCTGGAAGCTCTGATTCTCTTACACACACACGGACATACAGGACGGATGTGTGTGCATAAAATGTCAAATGCAATTTGTTGATGAGACAGGAGAAAGGGCAGCAGCAGGAAATGGACAAATATCTCTGTTTCGGACCGTTTCGCTCCCTCTCTGCTGCAGCTGCTGATATTTTCACATCAAACACATCGTGACACGCATCTCTCTACCTTTTTGAACCAAGGCTTCACAGTGACTGCCTCATGCTGGGATGGATGTTTATGAGCCATCGTGTGTACAATTAAATACTCACTGCTCCTGCTGCAGTTTTTTTCCAAGAGGATGTTGAAAGCAGATAAACTTTGAATGAACAAACAGATGTGAAAAAGCCAGTACATATACATACTGTGTCCTTGTTTTATTAGCATTTATTTAGCATTAGCTTTGGAATTATTTCTTTCACTAAAAAACTTCAACTGGTGTTGTTGTTGTTGTTGTGTGGTAGTCATGTAACAAACTCAAAAACACAGCCTGACAAGAGTATTTAAAAGCTCTTGACACATTTTTAACATCAGTTAACAATAGAAACCTTGTATTTTTGGCAATAATAATAATAATTTGTGTGACTTGCAGGCGCCAGGCATGTGGTTCCTCTGGAAATCCAACCCAAAACTACCTGGTCGCTGCTTCGAAGGCAGACGCGCTACGCACTAGACTATGAAACCACCTAATGAGAGCACGACAAGTTTGTGAAATAGTTAAATAGTTTGTATTTGTTATTAGCCCCTTTGATTGCACTAGTGATTTTCTTAGAAGATCTTTAACAGATACTCGAGGACAAAGTAATTCTGTGAAACACTGTCAAACCGTAGACAGATACTGTAGATGGATGAATACTTTATTGATCCCAAAGGGAAATTAAGGATGTATGCTGTCTCAATGTTAGTGTTTCTTTCCGTTAAGACTGTCTGTGGATGATTGGTTTTGAACAGTATGCAATTAAATTAGCGATATGATCCAGAGATGATTGGTGGAATAGTTCAACAAAATGGTATAATAATGAAAACAATCCAAAATGGCTGTCAGCTGCAGGTGTACAAACACTTGGAACATTCAATATGCACATAAATATGCACATATTGGTAGACACGTTTGGCCTGAGGCTGAAACTGTTGAACTTACAATATTCAGCTTTAAGTGCTACTGAACCCAGAGCTGATGACAGGAGAGTTACGTCAGCCGTGACTCGACGTGTTTGTCCTGTTTGACAAATTTTTTTGTTTAATTGAAGTATTAGTGACACACTGAAGATGAAATAAAACCCCCCATTTTTAAGAAAATGTACTAAAAAGAGAGCATATTTTTGTACCAAAACACAATTTAAGTCGTTCTTTCTTTGGAATAAATAAAGTGTTATTTCAAAATATAACTAAAGATGCTCCATGTTTACCATTTAAATAATTTATCTTCTAATTTTATACAGATAGACAGAAAGATGTATTTTATTGATCTCAGTCATTTTAGAATATGTTTCACTCAATGTGACTAATACTATTTATGTAAGAGATTTTTACGTTTTTTTGCAATCTTCCAGCTCCTTTGCATTTTCCGTGTGTGCTTATTTATCTTCTAGTTAAATTTAGTTCTTAGTTGCTTAAGCCTCTAATCCACCTTTTAAACATTTCGTTGTGGCTGCTTGGCAAAAAACAGTTTTTTTAATGATGAGTGTGGATCACCTCTCATCACTCAAGCAACCGGTGGCTGCAGCTGGTATGACATGTATGGAGAAAGAAGAGGTTTGGACAAAGACGAACAGACAGAGCTGGAGGTGGAGTGGGTGTGGGGGAGGGTGGGATCTAAACAGCTACCTGATGGCCATCAGTGTGTCTGTGTGTGTGTGTGTGTGAGTCACTGCTGTCATTACAGCCTATTCAACATCAGTGGAGCTGCAGGTGCAGATGGAGGGATAAAAAAGGCAGAACAGTGGACGGGGCCAATCACACATCACTGGAGAATTTCTATCAAAGTGGCAGAAAGTTGGTTTCAAATTTGTGCTTAATCTGATTGCTTCTGATTGTTTTCTAGTTTTGTTGACCAGATCAACAAAATGCACAGAAACAACAGCACAAAATGGGTTAATGTCCATCTGTTCAAGCCATGTACTATAAATGGAAACATATTTTTATTCGAGAGCTTTAGATTGTAAAGTATTTTAATATCAATGTGATAACTTCTAGCCTCCTCCAGCACGCAGCGGCCATCTTCTATTTATTTTAGCCTTCATTTTAGCCTTGTTTAGCAATTTACCTAAGTCGCTTCACCATGGGGCAGATGGGTCAACCTCCATCACTTCCTTTGTATATCCCATGTAAGCTTTTTCTTGTCTTAAAGTACGACTTTAAACCTTTAAATCTTTTTCTAGATCTTTAATTACCTTGCAGGGTTTTTGATTTTAACTTTATTTCATTAAAATAATTCACAGGTCCACATGCCTTAGTTTTGAGTAAGTCTGTCTGTCTGTGTGTGTGTGTGTGTGTGTGTGTGTGTAGGTGTCTTACCTTGCCAAAAATAGGCACCAGGTGATGTTCACACATGGAGAACATATCAATGTCTTTGACAATTACCAGCTCATCGTGGTCTTCATCAAAGATGGCATCGTTTAGGATGTCTGAAAGAAAGAAAAACAAAATGACATCATATAATGTATTGATACAGAAGAAGTCAGCTTTTACTCAGAAATGTGTTGAAACAGACTGTATTGTGTATAAAAACACCACCAGTGTTGTTGCTTTATTGCATTTTGCCGTCACTCAATAAACTGTTCCATCAGTTTGTGACAATGGAGCCGCCTTTGGCATACACTGGTGCACTTTTTAATTTCCTGACTTGTTATCAGTTCAAAGAGGAGAAAGAGGGCGGTGAGAGAGGTTACCAGTCACCTCTTCATTTTTCCTTTGCTTTTCTGCTTGTGTGTGTGTGCGCATCAGTGTCAACAGGTGAAAAAAAAAACTAACATGTTTGAGGATTTGTCTCTGTGAACCCTTTTTTTCCCCACGTCACCAGAAAGACAAACGAACAAGATGACGTCAATCATTAAATGGTTGATTATCATCTGTTACACATCAACGCCGTCAGTGGAAAACAACGGATCGACCCGCAGGTTTGACAACACAAATGAGCATAATGCTCTATCCTTCTGACTCGTTGGCATCCAATATTGCATTCAAACCTTTCAAAGTCGAGGTACATGTACCAGAAAATGGTACCACCCCCAATTTTCTAGACTATTTACTGAGTTTTTCCTCAGTGATGATTCACAGTAGTCAGACACACATGCAGAGTTGCGTGAAAGGAAGAGTGATCAAACTTCCCTTCAGAGTTACTGCGTTTGTCTTCAACACTACCCCCCCCCCTTTTCTTTCTAATAAATCAAAGGGGAGGCTCCAGCAGCAGCCAATCAGCAGACAGCCACAGCACCACCACTGCCTGATGAACAACATATACACACACACACACACAACGCCCCATGACCATCCTCTGACAGAGATACTTCAGGTGGATGTCACACTGCAGCCTGCGCCAAACAAGTATAATGACCGTTAGAATCACCAACATCAGGACCACGGCTACATCTCTTGGCCATGTTCCTGACATCCCAGCATTCTTTTCTCACTTTCCTGCATTCCCGCCTTTAACATAACAGCTTCTTGAACACAGCAAACGACCCCCACCCCTCTAAACTACCTCCAGATGGAGTCGTAGATGAAGCCGATGCAGAGCCATGAGGAAGATTCTCTCCCTCAGCTGCACGTGGAGAAACTGACACATGTTGATTTGGCTGTCTCAAATGTTGAACTGTTGTGTGTATGATTTGTCTCAACCTGATGACAGCTCTGCTCTCACATGGGTGTCATTCATTAATGAGTTGACAGGAGCTCATCTTCAAAGACGGATCAGCAGATTAATTCAGGCCTCTTTTTACAGCTCACTAGTGTAAATATAATGTGATATGATGTGTGGATATATATATATATATATACATATACATATATATATATATATATATATACATATACATATCCATATGTATATGTATATGTATATATGTATATGTATATATATGTATATGTATATATATATATGTATATATATGCATATACATACATATATATATACATATATACATATGTATATGTATATATGTATATGTATATGTATATATATATATACATATACATATATATATACATATATACCTAAAACATCAGCAAAAATAAAAATTGTAATTGAATTGATGACTGCCATTTTAAAATAGAAAGTGTGCATTATATCTTGAAACTATTAGCTATATTGATAAACACTGACATTTCAATAAATATAAAGTCTCTCACTAAATAAAAAGGATTATAGAGAAAAACTTGTAACATATGGCTCCAGGTTTGTATTCTGACCTTCTTTTCCCTAGAATTCAGAACTCAAATACGTACCATATATTATTTTCAATTCAAATTACGCCAGAGTGAGGGTCGATTTACGCACCAACTTCCAATCTCTTCCATATTCACACATACAAGTACAAATTCACCCTTAGTCGTTTAAATACAAAAATGAAGAAGTCTTCTTTAAGTTAAGTTTTATCTACTCTCAGGCTCAGAATTCTCCCCTGTTGCCGGCAGAGCGGCAGTTCACATCCCTGAAGATGACGACCTGAACTTCTCACCTGCGATCTTCTCCTGGTAGCCCTTGGTGAAGAACTGCATTGCTGTGGCTGCTCTCCACGGGGTCTTCAGGAGCCCTTGCCGCTGCGGGTCTTCTCCTAGCCCCCGCAGGATAGAGGTGTAGGCTGCAGCCAGGGACGGCAGGCTCTTCTCACTGTCCTCAGCGCTCCTGGTGCGGTCCTCCCTCCCGTCCGTGGACCGAGAGCCGGACTCTGCGGCCAGAGCCGGTACAGCGGAGACGGTGCGGGTGAGAGCGTCTGGTCGCTTAATGATGTCGTCAAAGTGACCGTTGAGCGCGGAGCCGCTCTCTCCACTGCTCCCACTGTCATTGGTCGTGTACTGAGTGAGTTTGGAGTGCTCCATGACTTGTTGAGCAGTTGTCGGTGGAGTAGATGATCTGTCAGTTTGGATCCACCGTCGGTCACAGAGGCTCAGGCTTTAAAGGAGCACTTCACTCAGGAGCCGAGCTCTCATTGGTCTCCTGCGGCGGAGGGAGGTTCGCCTCCTCTCTGACTCTCCCGAGCATCCTGGAAACCAAGACTAACGAACAGTCACATTTAGGGTTTATTAGAATAATGAAACAGCCAGACGTTTTTCACAACAGGATAAAAGCAGACAGCCGGTCAGCAGGACAGATAACCCTGGGGAGTTTGAAGAAAAACCCCTATCCCTAAAAAGGAATTAAAAAAATAATAATATTTACTGTAAGAAAACATCCTGGTCACTGACCAACCAAGGAGAACGGTGACTGCTACTCTGCCTGGTTCATTCAGCCTGCTGGACCTGTGAAGGACAGTTACCTGGCCAGTGTAAAAAAAAAAAAGACAATAAAAAAAGAAAGAAAGAAAGAAAAAACCCCATTATATTAAAATAGGAAACAATGATAAGTGCTTTTTTTGCTATGCCTAATGTTGTAGAAAATCACACAAAATTAGAGAAATCACATCTCATCTTCAAACATTTACATTTATTCATACATATTTATATATAAAAAAACCAGTGAGCTCTTCCAAAACAAGGTTTTACAAAAACGTTAATGAAAGTTATTCTGTCTCTTATTTCCCATCTCGTCACCATCACAACATGTCCAGTTTCTTGTTTTCACACGAATGAATACTCGACATACCCACACATAAAAATTAATTTTTGTTAAACGCAAAAGCTGAGAGTTTGGAGGAGGAGTCTAAGGACTTTTTCTTTTTGGCACCGTTTTGGTCAGAGTCTGTCTGTACATCTTCATTTTCTACATCTTCTCCTCCTCCTGTTGCTCTTTTCCTCTTCTTCACATCTGCTGCATCTCCTGTCTGGCCTTTTGCTCTTTCCGTCCACGACTAGAAGAGGAAGACAAATGCACACATATACAGGTTAATCACCTGAGAAGATACTGACCAAGCACTGCACTGTTATTTCATCTTGACTCAAGGCGTCAACCTCCTTCAGCATAAGGATGGCTAAACGCATGCCTGGATGCTCAGTCGTGTTTGTCTAAAATTGCATCCTGTCATGTCTAATCACTACAGACAGGCTGCATCAGTGTGGCCTGCTGGCTCTGTTCCTCCTCGTGCGATTATTTATTTATTTCGCCCCTTTTCTCCCTCAGTGGAGATAAAAAAGAAGCGCTTTTCTGGACGTAATGGAGCAGGGATGAATCATCAGGCCTGCTGAATGGACGGGCGGCAGCAGCAGAGTCACAAATACGTCACATCCAGCAGCAAATGAGACATTGCTATTAACCCCATGAATATCCAAACAACATGGCAGGCAGGCAGACAGACACACACACTTGTTACAGAGCTGGTGGATGGGGCTGGCTGTGACAGCTCACCACTACTTTGGCCATTTTATTGCGTTTAGACAGAATAATGTAATAAGTGCTGACTGTGTCACAGCCTTGGGGTCAGTTGTGAACAGGGTTTCCTGTCAAGTCATACTTAAGGAGAGGGGGAGAAAAAAAAAACAAGGCAAATCACATTATGAGATTTTATCTGAATTTGTTTGATCAATTTCGTCCACGTGTGTAAGTCGCCACAACACTGACCTCAAACAGAGTCAGGGACTGGACTTTGGACAGCTGTGGAAAACCAATCCGTTTGTATTTTCAGAGGAGCAGGTCAAAACTGACACAGCAGTGTTTCAGTCTGTTACACTGTAGTACTGTCACTGCTACACACAGTAGTGATTAGTGATTTCAGAGACGTTGATCCTAAAATGGATGGATCTTGGAACCAGAAGCTGGATTTAGTCAAACATCTGTTTACCTCCCAAGGTGCTGTGACAGTCTCTTGTCTGACTTTATTATCTACTGGGACACATTTGATTTGAAGTTACTGCAAAAAAGGGACAAATGTTCAGTTCACAACAACTGAACCTAAGCAGCAATTGTCACAGTAAAACTGAATGAAAGTGTGATTCTCTACTACAGACTGTGGTAGACCTGCCCACTGTCACTCACTACAGGATTATCATAAGATCAATGCTTGGTGCCCTCACTACCAGAGTACACTTCACCGGGTTCCCAGGCAACAGGCGTCTCCCCTCTCTCCTCCTGTACTCCTCCCCCACCATCCAGCTCCTATTCACTTCCTGTTCCGACTGTGTGTGGAGTGTCATTCACTTTTGGCTTTTTTCTTTCATCAACTGTTCTGATGAATGCAGCAGCAGAACTGAGTGACCACACAAGCATTTTCTGCTCTGTATTCACTCAGGTGGAAGGACGAAGAGCATCACACAGACTGGCTCAGCAGTAAAACAGAGAACAGCTCAGATCATCAGTCAGGGTTCATACGGTCTGTATAAGTGGGTTAAAGGTGGGGAATGAAAACTGGAAATAAGGGTTGCTGTGAAAAGTCGTATTTACACGTTGATCTTTTTGCAGTCTTGGGGTTGATGTTTGGGCAAAGGGTTTTTAGAGCAAAGACTTGAGAATGGATAATCAGAGTCTTCAGGCTGCAGCGTGAAGACAGGGCTAATGGATCTGCAGCAGGTAATCACCGCTGCCTCTCTCTAAAATGATGCTTTTCACAGGTCGCTGTGATCTTCAGGCCAAACTGGATCACAGCAGGATCAAGAGATCATCTATCACATCTAGATTGTTTAGAAGGAAGCAGAAGAACAGGAACATCCTCCCACTGTGATACTTTCCACAGTACGTGTCATTACCTTGTGTGACATCAACTCTATATATTCTTTATAGCACACAAATAGTTTGATATTTCATTTTTGTTTTTTTTCTGTTAATATTTTAAAGTCTTTTCAATGACCCATGACCTTTGCTGCTGTAACCAGTCGATTTCCTTACTCTGAGATCAATGTTTAACTGATTTAGATTTTTTGTGAGAATTTACAAAGTAATGACTTTGTAAATCAATTTTCTTCAACCAGTGCCTACGTGTAAAAATGTCTGACAGGTTTAATGTGGATTACTGAGAGAACAGTTTATGACAGTGGTTCACAACCTTTTTGACCTGTGACCCATTTTGAAATCACAAATTTCTGGTGATCCCACAGCCATTTTTTTTCCAGAATACAACAGTTTCCTACCAGTCTCTCCTCTGCTGACAGCGTCCTGAATCGCCCCATTGCCTCTCTGATGATGTCCGTCTCCTGAATGTCAGGCTGGTCAGCCATGATGTTCTTCCGGTTTTCCTCCAGCCACAGCTGAAAGCCTGTTTTTGGCCTGAAGAGACAAAGTCACCATAAAAACACACACACACACACACACACACAAATCAACAAAATACAAAGGTAATGAGTTCAAAAAATTCAAAATAAATAATTATTAAAAATTCTCCAGAAAACAAAAACAGAAAAGGGAAACTGACCATAAACTAAAGAAACTTTTTTTTATTATTTCCCAGTTGAGATTGTAATATATCAATATCTGTGGAGTGAGAAATCTCATATCTTACCTCTTATTTTCCTCAGTGGTCGAGGCTGGAGGCGTGGCCTCCGGTTGTTTCTGTTGATCGACAGCAGGTTCTGTATTCCCCTGATTCTTTTTACTGGCTGCTCCAGTCATCTGGAGTAGTGTGGACTGAGCCTGGATACCAAAGATGTTAGTAAGTCAGATGAAAGACTACTGACCACTGGTCTAAATCTGGTCTTAACTGGATACCTTTGACTTAGGTTTGAGGGCCAAAGGTTTGAGGACTGGAATTTTGTTGGATTTGCCTGCTGATCCACTTTGCGGCGTTGACTTCCTGCCTGATGTCATGTTGTCCAGGATGTTGGTGAGTCGAGGTTGAACAGAAGAGGGCGATGGTTTCCCAGATCCAGGCAGCTAATGATGTTTCATTAACAAGTTATTACTTTTTTTGCAGGTTTTATTCCTTCTAAAAGTCAACGTTTATCAACACCGACAATGACTGAAAGGTGTAACTGTCGTTGTTGCTAGTGATGATGTAATTGTTTTCATCACATTTACCAAACCGCTGTGTGAATATCTTGAGTTCTTACCTTGAAGGGATTTGCACGCCCAACTTTAGTGACTAAAAAATGAACACATTCAGGTCAACGACAATTTTTCGCTCTCTGAAAGATCATAACTTTTGTATGGTTCTGCTGTTTTTTTTCACAATCTATTTTAAGCCATATTTAGTCACCTGGTGTCAGCGATGGTGTCACGAGAGAAGCTGAATCTTTAGCAAATGGATTGCTCCCTACAATAGGAAAGACACAATAACGTGTACTGACGGACTGATGATGACAGTGTCTGTGGATCTACAAATAAGAAGGTGTAACTTACGTTTTCTGATTCCTGCCGTCTCCTCTGTCTCCATCTCCTGCACCTCGTCCTCTTCACAGACTTCCTCTCCCTGGTCCTCCTCTTCCTCCTGATTATATCTGTTACTGTAATGTCTTTCTGTGACTTCAGTCTGGCTGAACCTATCAAATGAAACAGTTTTCCTTCTGTTTTAGCACAATACTGCAAAAAGTGAATTTTTTTTTTTTAATTTTTAGACTTACCCGGAAGGCCGTCTAACACTGGGGCGTTCTGGCTCCTCCTCCTGCTCCTCAGGCTCATCTTCCTGGGCCTGATTGGCTTTTTCTAATGCGATCTCACTGAGTCTCTGGGCCAAAGCCATGCGTCTGGACCTGGAGGCATATCGAATGGCCAGAGTCACCACGTTCTGTGTCATCATCTCCGCCAACTCCACAGAGCGAAACTCCCTCTCTAACTTACAGGACAACTGCAGGGAAAAAAAAACATCACCATCAACATATACTCAGTACGTACAGTATATATACAGTCCCCTCCAAAAGTATTGGAACAGCAAGGGCAATTCCTTTGTTTTTGTTGTATACTGAAGACATTTGGGTTTCAGATCAAAAGATGATGAATATGAGACAAAAGTTCAGAATTCCAGCTTTTATTTCATGGTATTGACATCCAGGTGTGTTAAACAACTCAGGAAATAAACAGGTAACAGGTAATAAACCAAATACTCACAGCAAACATCTTCATCAGCAGCTCTTGTTGCTCCTTCTGGGAATTAGTCTGTCCTTCCTCATCAATCTCATATCCACTGGAGGAGAGGAAGCTGTAGTGGTTGTGGAAGAGGAGCGAACGCAAGAACTGCTCCTGGAGGAGAAAAGTCAACCATGGTCAACTTACAGAATAGGACCAAGGATTCCTGCAGGGGATCCTAGGTAAGACATTACACTTTGTTTAAACCAGAGGCCCCCAACCCGTCGGCCGTAGACTGGCACCGGTCCGTGGATCAATTGGTACCAGGCCGCACAGAAAGAATGCCTTACTTACATTATTTGCATTTTATTTATTTTCTGATTCTAAACAATCTTTTATTTTGAAAAATTACTGGAGTGTCTCCGTCAAATCTGTGTATGACTCACCTGATGCATGTCAAGATGCTTGCCTCGGTCACACTTATTACCTACATCTGCTACCGTCTTAAAAGGTCTGCTCTGGCTGGTAACACATAATACGTTACTGCTAAATTGAAACCTCCAAGCTAGCAAACTGAACGGAAAGCAAACGTCTTGGAAAGTTTCGTAGCGCAAGGTAAAATACCCTGTGAGGAGTCAGAAGAAGAGCCTACGTCTTCAAAAAACAAAATTCAACCTTAGTCCTACTTGAAATATGGATTTATTGTGACTAATTGTTCCCATGCACCAAGACCGTGCTGAATAATACACGGTGTGCGGCGCTCTAATGAAGCCTTCAAAACGGGTTCACCACCTGGAGACCAAGCGTTCATTAAAAAACGAACGCAATGTTACGAAGGCGCTGCTAATGAAGTACCATACACAGTGAATTCATGTTTATTATTATATTTAGAAAATACCAGTTTCTCTCATCATTGTATTTAGTTGTATTTATCTGCCACACCTCAAAGGCCGGTCCGTGAAAATTATTCAGACATTTAACCAGTCTGTGGGGCAAAAAAGGCTGGGGACCGCTGGTATAAACGGTTTTCCTTCAACACGATCTCTTTAAATACTCAGTAAGTCATTGCATTAAATCTACAGCAGGTTTAGGTGAGAAATGCTGATTACGACCAAACTGGGATACTACTGCAGTACCTCCAACTGTCCTTTCTCTGTGGCCGTCTGACACAGGGGAAGCTTGAATGGCAGGATGGCCACAGCAGGTCTGGGCAGGGTGGGGGGGTACCTGGAGCCTTTACATGGAATACACCTGTGAGGGTGAAGACAGAGTGGGTTTTTTACCAAACTCCTGTAGAGTTTTTTCCACCAGGCCGGTGTGTGACGATGTGACTGACTGAACCGTAGACAGACCTGAGCTGCTGAGGGTTCTCGTGCACTCCAACCACCCAGTAATGATCGGATTTACTCTTGCAGGTGTCTCTGGTGTTACACACCGGTGTCCAGGTGTTTCCTAGTAAACGGTTGAGCATCCGCACCACGCCGTCTGAATCCACGTAGCAGGGGGTACCTGGAAACCCACCTCACAATCAGGCTGCTGTCGTCAGTATTTTTAAAGGTAAATAATGTGGTCAGCCTGACTGACCTTCTGCAGTGAATCCAAGCCAGGAGAGGTAGGATTTGAGTGAGAGTGGGAGAGGTTCACCGTTGATGAGCTGCCTCTTCTTCTGACTCAGTTGCAGGAGCTGGACGCCCAGAGACTGATTGCCGTCGAAGCCCGTGCCTGTGAAATGAACAGAATATATACGGGGGCATTACAGCGCCAACCGTTTGAACAGTGCTGATGGTACATTCATTACTGGAGCAGACTCCTAACAGAAACAAATGAATGTGGCAGTCAAACGACTCATATGTTAATTCATCCAAATGTTACTGTCAGTTTTACACTGACCAACACAGACTGGCTTTGTTCTTGATGTGATATTCTACATGTTATATTATTTACTGCGTAACATAAGCCATAGAAACATTACCAGCCAAGTATCGGTAGTATAACCTCTGTAAATAGAAATTATGCAAACGGACTAAGATAAGTATAAACCAGCAAAAGGTTGTCACTAATTTTCTGCCACAGGCAAGTTAATATGTCAGTGGAATAAGATCAATTAAAGTTTTCAGGAATTTGTATTTGCATAACTAGGCAAAAATATTGCATCAGAGAAACGGGAGCAACGATGAACAAACATTTTTCTATGAAGATTCCTTATTCTTTAATAAATGTAAAGGAGGTCTGTTAGAACATTATTCATTACTGCCGGTCTCTAGGTCTTTCTCTATGTAAACACTGTGTCAACTTTATCTGTCAGACAATGTGGGACAGAGAAAGGGGTGATGGTGAGAGAGACAGAGAATTCCCGTGGACAGTATAAGACAGTAAAGATATTGAGAAAAAGCAGCAACTCAGACAAGCAGCAGTTAAAAGCAAGAATACGTGTCAAGGCCATGACTTGGCTCACTGTGGAACTACTGTGTTCAGGAGCAGATCACATATCTCCAGAATTATTGCACATGTGATAGGATGAATATCACAATAATGCATATAAGGACACCGTGTACTTTCAGCCCTAATTAGTCACATTAGAATATTATATTCTCAACCATAAAAAAGGTCATTAAGAACTCTAAATATTCCTGAGGGCTGAATCACAGTGTTTCCTGTGTCAGGTCTTACCTCGATGGTATACTATGAGCAGCTGCTCTCCATGTCCAGCCATGCAGACCACAGGTCCTGAAAGGCTGAAGATCTCTCTCTGAAGACCACCGATGGAGAACAGTCTGATCACGAGTGCGCTGGTGGCCACCGCCGCCCAGCCCTGACCCAGACAAACAGCCTTAGCATCCTCACCCTTGGGCAGGTCCACCATCCACTCTTTATTGGTGTCCCATGATGAGAAGTGGAGGCATTGGAGCTTACTGAGAAGAGGGAGAAGTTCTGTTGGAAGATCTAAAATAATCAACCAAAACAAGAACAGGTGAAGCTGCAGCGGTTTTTACCTGGCCAGCTCGTCTGTGCCGGCACAGGCCAGCAGCACGGCCTCCTGGGAAAGATCGGCTATGGTGTGACCCAGAGAGTTGGTGAGGTGCATGGCGTGGTGCACAGCTGTGTCGTGGAACTCCACGTCAATGGCGTTGTCCTGCTCATCGTTATATCCACGTACAATTCCAACAGAGTTCCACATCTGCGACACAACATTGTTTTTTAACCATTTGAAGCTCAGTGTCAGGATGTCACGCTGTTCATACAACTTGACAATGCAACAAAACACACATTAATGACAAAGGAAAAGATGACCAAGGAGTGTCACAGACCAGTGCTGTCGCATTTACCTGCTTTTAGCAGAGTCATCTTTCGCAGAGTCATACTTTCAGACATTTACAGGTATTTCTTTGTGTCATTAACATGCAGTTTAATGGATAAACTCCAGTTTGTTCAGATCTTTGAATAGTTTGCTAATTAAGGCTCATGGCCCAATTTTTAGTTCTGTAGAGGGACTACAGGTTTGATTCCTGCCTTAGCAGTTGTTGTGTAGTTTGAGTAAGCACCAATGCCCTTGCTCCTGGTGCTTCTGTAGTAAGTAAGCAATCACTGTTCCCCAGAAATGGTCTGATGAGTTCAAAGAAGGGGACACATTGGTGATTCTTCTTCTTCATGCTAAAAATACAGGAACTTACCAGGAAGCGGTGTGCGAGATGTGCAGGGGTGGAGCCTGGCTGAAAGGCCTTTTGGGGAGGTGTTGGTAAGGGCCCATCATAAACAGGCTGCAGAGGCACCAGGGGGACAGACGGGGCTGCCACTAAACTGCCTCCATCATCATCATCATCATCTTCATCTTCATCATCATCATCATCTTCATCATCATCATCATCTTCATCTTCATCATCATCATCATCTTCATCATCATCATCATCTTCATCTTCATCATCATCATCATCTTCATCTTCATCATCATCATCATCTTCATCATCATCATCATCATCTTTATCACCAAATTTGTCCTGTCCAAACTTCAAGGATCCTGTATCTGAGCAAAAACACGCAACCTTGACGAGGATTTCATTGATTTAAATCGTTCCAAATCTCTTGGTCTGAGACGCTCACCCAGTGAGTTGTCATCGTCCAGGATGGCCCCCCTGTTCTTCACACGCCCAGTCAGAGGCATGAAGTCATCATCGTCATACTCATCCGCCTCAGCAGCAGCATGTTTTTTAAGTGGGGACTTGGTGTCACTGAGACCTTCATCCATGACTCTATCATCATCATCCTCATCAAACAAATCATCGTAGTCATTGGCTGGTTTCTTTGATGGAGGCTGATGAAGGGCCAGTGACAGCGATGTTGATGATTGCCTTTCAATAAAATAAGTCACATCCTTATTGTCATATTTGCTGCCTCGTTACCTTGGCTGTGCTTTTAGAGGTAGAGTTGGAGAAGCTGAGGTCGTCCAGCAGACCCAAACAGCCCATGGTGTCGGAGTAGACGATCTGTGTGCCTGAGGGATGCCAGGCCAGAGAGCACACACTGAAGCCTTTCTCATGTTTCTGCCTGAAAAGACAAAAAACATTTTTAATTATTGTTGGTTGTGGCCGGTGGGTGGGTTGAAGCAATGAAGGAAATACATTAACAACAAACTGTTTTTACTGAAGCAGGTGGTGAGATCAAGTATTTAAATAATGCTTTGGCTACAAAATAGTGTTTTGGGACAAAGTTCAACTTCTTTATTTCTGCAAAACTTAGACTTTTACTCATTGTGAGTAACTGTTAGCCACATCTCTGCTTCTTTTAGAACATTTTGTCCAACATTGGTAAACTTATTTTTGACTATTAATGGACTAACTTTCACCAATCTTCTGGCAAACATTAATAATTTCCTAAATTTTATTTAGATTTTTATCTTTTAATCTTTTCCTGAAAAACATGTATTTTTTATTGTAGATTTTCAGATAACTTGGTTGGGCTATATTTTGTCTTTCTGTTAACATATTTTTTTTCCTGTGGTTGGAACTAAAGCAATTACTTTAGGAGTTCTTATATCAATACTGGTCATTATGTGACTGTGGAATGGGTTGGCTAAGGTTAGGGCACTGTAGAGAGCAGGAGAGAAGCATCTACATATACAAACAAGAAAAAAAGTGCATTACTCAATAAGTCAATGACCTGGAGCTACTTCATAAAAACGAATATGTTTTTGGAAGAGATGATCCTCGAACACAAACAACAGTACTGTCACACACCTTTCCAAACACATTTTAGTGGTTACGTCAAAAACTGTCAATAATCCCGCCACACATCCAGCTGCCAGGAACTGTCCACATGGAGACCAACTCACAGCATTAATGGGCTGAAGAAACAAAACAAAACAAAACATGATCATAAAAATGTGATCCTCTCCCAGAGTTCCCACAGTCCTCAGGTTTCCGCAGACTGGATTTTTCTTTATGCTGGTGTTGCAAACACCGTACAGGTTTTTAAAGCCAAAAAGAGATTAAATGATAATTTGGATTAATAAGTAAAATTCTTAATCTTTCAGCAGCTTTAAACACTACGGCAAGTTATAAAAGCTGTGGTTCGGACTAAAACCATACATAATGCAACAGTAAAAAACAGGTCATTAACAATGTCTGATATTAAAACAATGTCAGTTATTAGTGACACTAATTTAAAAAATGCAAGTAAGAGCTTTACTAATTACCTTCCTTCACTTCTACAGCAGCATGTATTCTGAAGATCTCCACATTGGATATTTTATTCTGACACTGCTGCAGTGTTAATGTAGTGTTTATTGCTTATGGAGATTTCAGCTTAAAACAAATCTACTAGTTTACACTGTTCTACCCAGCTTTGGTTTTAAATGAATAATTTGCATGTTAGTTTCATCCAAATAAAGGATTTGCCTTTACTGAGGTTTCCAAAACCGTTGAATTATACTGTGCGTCTGATCTTACCTTTGTGATCAGGCCATCAGACAGAGTGATAACATGGTCCCAGGAACCTCGCTCATACAGATGCACCTTTGTGTCAACAGGAACCGCTAGAAGCTGCACATAGACACAAAGTCAGAGAATTAGAAAAGAGCTCCAGTAGAAATGCACAGCACAACAACACACGAACACACCACTTCACTGACAGTGTTCCACCTAAATGACAAACACTTTTTCCTAATTAATCAAATGTATACATGGCCTGCATTAAGACAGAGGAAGGAGCTGTTTATGTGTGACTTTGTTCTGGTGACAGTAAAATAAAATGGAGTAAAGGTGTGGGGTCACTGACCTTTGCCATCACTGGCTGCCAGGACAGTCGACACAGAGACTTTGCACTGCTGACATCACTGGTCTTTTGCAGCAAAGGCCAACTGACCACCTGAGTCTGCATAAACAAAACAGACAGATCAGTTTTTAACCCAATATTTAGTAGGACACAGAACACGACTGAAGACTTTCATCTTCGACCCAAACCTGCTCCTCAATGTTCCACACCACCACAGAACCGTCACAGCTGGACGATGCCTGAAACAAACATAAACAAAGGTTTAAGATGCATTTTTATGCAAATATTGCAAAAGACTAAATTTGCCTCTAAGGATTATTCAGTCAATTTAAGGATTTCAAGATAAACAACAGCAGGCAGATGTATGTTTTGCACACATTTCTATTATTTATAACAGTAGAAATGTCAAAACAATATAAAAAAAGCATAATTTTAAAAATATGTATTTAATATTTTCAAGTCCTTATTTTCAAGTCCTTACTATTTTTTGTCACATTGACTCCCAATTTTGATTGGGACAAAAGGTCAACAAAGGGAAATTATTGCAATTTCATAAAAAGTTGACAAAACATTCAATGATCGTACTTCAAAGCTAGTGTGAAAAACACTTTTTGTTCTTTTTTTTCTTCTTCTATTTTGTGTTTTTTAGAGTGACTTTACCATATACATATAAAGATAGTTTATAAAACAGTCGGTTTCTAGACCCACCACAAATTCATCTTTGGGGTCAAATGTGACGCCAAGCACAGGAGCTTCATGGCCTCGGAGTGTTTTCTGTTGACTGCTATCCAACACTTCAATCACTTTTACCATGAAATCACTGGGGGCGGGGGGTGGGGAGGGGAGAGCGAGAGAAAATGAAAATGAGAAGTATTCAAAATAAAAGTGAAGATGAGACCACGTGGCTGTGAGAGCTAGCAGATGTGCACAGACAGATTAGTTTGTACCAACACTACTGTAAACTGCTAAATAACAAAAAAAAAATCTTGACACCTTCCAGTTTCAGCTAGAATGCAGATGCCAAGATTGATGACAACAATTCATGAGGGCAGATTATTTTTTACAGTCAATAGTACGACAGGAAACAGCAGCGTTGTTGGGGGAGACATGTTCTCAGCTTTGATTGTTGTCATAAGGCGGTTCAGGGAAAAATCAATTCTGGCAGCAAACAAACATTTTTCTTCAATCAGGACTTAATCATAAACCAATACAAAGACCAGTGTGTCAGCAGCTGGACATCACAGTCAGGTTTCACTGCTGTGAGCAGCTGCAACAAAAAAATACTGACACCAATGAGATCACAGAGAGGATTAGTCACAGTGCTAACAACAGTGTATGACAAAACAAACACTAGGCCCCACCGCCACGGGAGATGTCCAAGCCCAGTGAAGGTGAACGGTTTGACAGAGGAAAACTGACATTTGTCAGACGTACAACTGTGAATCAGATCACTGGTGGAAAAATCTCTCAGAAGAACCAGTTGGATTTGATCAGTCAGCTGCACTTCCTCCAAATATGAATCTATGTATTTTTTACACTAATAATAAAACATTCAAGCCCTCCTTAAATTTAAGGGAAATCCTTTATAAAAAATATTTTCTTTTTCTCCATGATCATATTAGAACAAAAAGGGTTTAAATATAGTACAGGCAATTAAGTGACTTTTGAATGTGCCTTATTTTTTTGGTTTAAGTATTGATCACTTCTCAGAGTGAGACTGTGTAAAATTAGACCTGAATGATCTGGATATGAATATATTTTTCAATTGAGTATCGTAATATGATTCAAATTTTATTTTCCCAATAAAACCAGATTAAAACCAATAGCCTATATAACAGAAACAATATATTCAATATAAAAGCATTTATTTGAAAATACATTTCTTGTAAGAATTTCTTAATTAAAAAACGTTGGGCCACTCGATTACAGTTTAATACTGTTGGTGAAAAAGTCAGGCCTTTGGTTTTATCCTTATTCCATTCTTTCCATTTTAAAACCCTGACATATTAAGCTGCAGAACAACAGCGGCCCCAAGAGGCCAAAGCCCATTGACGTGGTTTTAGATTAAATGAGACCGAACTGAATAGATCTGAAGATGGCTCCTCATACCAGACCGTAATGAATTAACTGTACCGGTTTATGTGAAGCTCAACTATAATGTATTACACAGTGTGTTTAATATCTAATATAATGTGTGTTTTGCTCTCTACCTGGACCCGGCAGCCAATCGGGAGCCTGTGCTGTTGAAGGTGACGTGGGTCGCGTTGGTGGTGAAGCGAGTCAGGATCCCATCTGGATCGCCATCAGGGAATGTGTGGATCTGAACCGTGTTGTTAGACGTCGCAGTAACCAGCTTGTTGTTCTGTGATTGGTGAAAATATTAATTCAGTAGCTGATAGATGTTTAAGAAACAAACCATTTCAGGAGACATTAGCTGGACCAACCCTGAGGGCCAGAGAGTAAGCCTTATCACCGACTGTGATGAACTTGGGGTCGTCATCGTCCAGACTCTCCCATATCCGAACATCTCCGTCACTGCCACAGGTAACGATAAACCTGAAAAAATAAAATAAAAAATGAGTCTTTGTGCACAAACAATACTCAACCGTATGAGCTAAATGATGTCTCTCTGGAGGACAACATTTCGTGATGTTTACTTATGGCGTCCTGCAGTTACATGTCATCACATTTTAAAGCTCCAGCTAACCCTTCTGACTTACTTCCCTTCTTCATCAAAGCAGACCTCAGTGTGTCCCTCGGCATGAGCGTAACGTATGGGCTTCCTCTCACAGGGCATTTTGTCCAGGTAGCCGACAAATGACTAGACAAAAGTACCGAGTACAATCTGTGGGAATAAAATTTTGTGGTGAAGAACACCTTTTTTCATATGTTGTCAGTTGAAGGAAATCAGAATTGGCCAAACATACTAACCAAAGAAACAAAAAGAATTGACCAAAGATTTTGCAATCAGTGTCTTTCTACTATTTGTGGACCAAGGACTATATAGAATATTTTAAAGAGTTGCAGCTTTGCAGTCTTTATCAGGACAAGGACTCCCCAAACTGAAATGGATAATTAAGAAGGATCCCTTCTTATATAAACACATATACTGTATTCAACTGTGTTTTATACTGGGCCTACTGCCACTTATAACTATACCTTGTTTGCATTCATGGTATGTCATTCAAATAACACACAGCTTCATAAATGTATTTTTTTTATCCTAAAGTAGGTTGGATGACACAGAGTTATTTACACAATACAGAGTAAAAGATAAAGTAAAAAATGCCATTTGGACATTATCTGTTGCACATTTAAAAACAAGTTAATGTGTAAAAAAAACAGACCCCTTAGGGACTGCAGGCCTTGTGTTGAGGATCCCCGCTTTAGGATTTAACATGGAAAGACTAATGATCAATAATGCTCTAGAAGATTACTTTTGTAATAAAGGTTTCATTTGAAGCTTAATATTTGCAACATGTCTGCAGTACAGTCAGTGACCGGGAGTGTGTGTATTTAATGTATTTACTGACTGTTTTAAGGGCAAATGTAAGCAGATGTTAGACAATATTCAAACAGAAACATTCCGTAAACAGAGGTTTTATTTTTTAAAAGCTGTGCCCCGATATTTGGTTGGTTTCACAGTTTAAACGTTTTGAACACAATACGGTAAAACCCATGGACAATGACATCGAACACGAATGACAACCAACGACGCGTACATTTAAGCACAGTGTAATAATAGCAAATATATAGACTTACATTTTCAGAATTTACAGATCCACACTCGTCTCGAGGTTCTCTCTCCGAATCTCCCGCGCTGCGTCACAAACAAGGAAACAGGCCGTCACTTCTCCCGCCACATACGTCATGACGCAAAGTCCAGGCTCCACCCACGCCTGAGGATCGCAACCGGAAATAGGAATACATTGTACGGTTCCTATTTCCGGCATATACCGTATAGCGTTCCAATATCAGCGCGCCCCCTAAGGTAGACCGCTGACATTCACATTCTTTTTTTTTTTCTTTTTGAGTTGGTTCAGTCTCTTAGAAGTTTTTCTTTCATAGAAAGTAAACAGAAAAGCTCATTGGTGAAAATCTAAAAAAATAAATAATTTAAATACAAAATAATTTCAAATCGTTTTTTAGTTAATAGTCATTTCAGCTATACAGTGATCCCTTGCTATAACGCGGTTTACATTTCACGGTTTCGCTACTTCACGGATTTGCATCGTGCATTGTGTTCTGCATTCTGATTGGCTAAAAAGTCACTCCGCTTCTTCTCTACCTGTGCGCCAATAACGTTGCGGTTTAATATGTACACGTACGTAAAACAGCTTGCCAAATTGACATTACGTACGTGCAAATTCTCTTGCAATTTCGAGTTTATCAAACCCCATAATGTCGACAAAACGCTCTGGACCGGCAAAAGTACCTGCGGTAGGGACCAAAAGGCAGCGGAAGATGCTGTCTATCGGTGATAAAGTAAAACTATTGGACATGCTAAATGAAGGTAAAAGCTATGCGGCTGTAGGTCGGCATTATGGAATTAATGAATCTTCCGTTCGTTCCATAAAGAAGGAAGAAAAAAACATAAGGAAGACAGCAGCAATAAGTTTTAATAAGGATTCAAAAAGGGTTGCAACTGCCCGCAACAAGACCAGGTAATTTGTATTTTTTTCATAATCATTTTTAATTTTCTCCCGTTCACGGTGGGCGGTGCTAATCTCCGCAATTTGAAGCCTTCTGTTCACGTTGATGATTAAAATTATTATTTGACAGTACATTACAGAAGTTATTTGTTGAAACGTTTCTAAAGTACTTTTATTTTACTTTATTTGTGAAACAAATGGTTGAGACTGTAAAATGGTTTGTTCGTTCTTTCTCTTCTTTTTCTGAGTATTTAATTGTAAAAAAAATAAAGATTTCTACTTCACGGATTTTGCCTATTACGGGTTCTTTTTGGAACGTAACCCCCGCGAAAAACAAGGGTTTACTGTATATACTGTATATGTATCGACATGCAGGGCTGCAGTGTTTCATGACCAAACCCGGCCCACTTTACTATGGAGGAGGAATTTGAATAAATGAAACAGCAGCTAGCTCTTACAATATCTTTTTATTGGGTATAAGTTAACATGTAACAAAGACCAAGGAGGTCATCCTGGACTTCAGGAAGAACAGAGCAACCTTCCTGCAGGTGGTGAGTCCACTGGAAGGTACCAACTGCACTAACCGGGATTCAATCTTGCCCACGAGGTGAACCCTGGGGTTCCACACCAATGACAGAGACATTGCCTCTGGGCCAAAGCGCCACCTGTTGTAAACCATAATGTTTAAATTTTAACAACAACCAACAGGAGTTAAACTCTCACCCACAGGGTCCTCAGCCTGCATCACTGTCCCTGTGCCAACCAGTCACATGGAGTAGCTTTGGTCGAACCTATATTTGTCATGAAAGATTGATGTTGTTCAGCAGAACAAGTACACTTCAATGTTGTCAAAGGCCAGGATTTTAATCCAAGTCTCATGTTCAACTGGTATTTTCAAATGTTTGAGGGAAATTGCCTTTTTGTGGAAAATTATGGTTCTTGGGATTTTTATTTTGGGGCATTTTTCAGTTTTAGCTGAACACAACTTTAGTATTGAATTAATTGATGGATTTTAACCTTTGGTGGATGTGATGTATTTAGAAAGTTCAGAACCATTGGGTGAACTGGACTGATCGAACTGTTCAAATGGAGCTGTTAGTTTTACCTTCATTAATTTAAAGTATTGGTAAAAGTAAAGCAGATGATCTTCTTCTATGACTTTTTTAACATGACTTCACGTACATCCAAACTCTCTCCATTGCTGCTTCTCCACTGCCGCTTCCAGACGCCATTTCTGCTATGGCAGATGGATCTGTGGCACGGTGTGGTAACGTCACACAAGGCCCCTCATGGGGATACAGTCCTGTGATTGGCTGCAAACGAACGAGACATCTGATTGGCTGTTGACGGGGCCCATGTAGAAAAAATGCATTTGTGTATCTGGTCACTGCTAGACGAGTCTCAAAAATCCACAAACAAATGCAGGGAGATTTACAAATTAAAAGCACGTTATAAATGCTCGTTAGACAATTCACAAATGTATTTTATGAAACTAACTATGTCTTCACATGCATACATTTGTGAATTTTCAAAATACATTTGTAAATATTCCAAATGCATTTGTGATTTTTCAAAGTACTTTGTGAATCCTCGTTTGTGTATTTATTCTTTTTGAGACAGACATGTTACCAACAGAATATTTGAACTAAAATGAATTCAGACTTAATATTACACAGTTGTAGGTTTGATCTACTGAACTTTTCCACCCCTACTTGAACCCATCTGTCACTCTGACAGCACACTTAATTACAGTATGCACTTGAACAATGCATTTGAATTGCACCCGGAGGTTCAAATAGAGCACCCAAGACCACAAAAGATGCATCATTTTTAATAGTTCTTGATTAATGCATTTCAAGTATTTCAAAAATGTAACTTTTGCACAATTCATTTGCAAATTTATTTTTTAAAATATGCCAGGTAAAGAAAAAAGAACACATCAAACAAAACAGGAGAACACTGTACAAAAACAGGAGACATTAAAATAAGACAGCAGTACGGAATCTAGTCTTTTGGAGTCTCAGCTTACATCACTAACGCTTACAGTGCATATGTTCTAAACACCACAAAAATGGAAAGGAAAGTTATCCCAGAGTAATGTCCCAAAACACCCAATTAACTCCACACCATAGCATAGCAACAAAAAGCTAATTTAACAACCTCTCGGTTTCTCTCTCTGTCTCACACACACGTACAAGCTTTAAAAAAATACCTAAGTAATAAAAATAAAGTTTTAAGTCCTGACCAAGTAGCAAATTCAGAAAATACTAGAGAAGCAGTGGAAGGTTGATTTTTGTCATCTTCTAAACTCTGCAAAGGCAAACTAGACACATTGTGTTGTGCATGTACACATCAGTGAAAAGGCATTTCTCTCTAAGAGGATATAATATGTTCACACATATTGTTTGCATAGTCTGATCAACATTTGTACAAAGAAAAAAAATATGACTGATACTGCTCTTCAATATTTGTCAGGTCTGTGAGTGAAGGTGACCTGGTTTACTGACCTCTAAAAAACCTCAGAGGACGATGGGTGAAGAAATCAGAGCAGTAATACACAATCAACAAACTAATTGCAAAACATAATACATGAGCTTGTATACTGTAAAAAATATATACTTGTTTCTATGTAGATCAGTACAGTGTGTATTCAATATGATTATCACTGCATTACCAAGTCACCAATTTCTGCCATCACTGCAGCTTAAATCCAGAAAAATACCAAAGCCATCACTACCATCTTCAGTCATACTTAATGATATAAGGAAACAAAGCCATTCGATTGGAAAATGAAGCACAGGAAGCAAACTAGTAATGACAATAAGCATTTCTCTCAATTCTTTTTTGGTCTCAATAAATGATCAATTTAATTTAAAGGAAAACAGGAAAGTGCAACACGATGTACATAGGACAGACCCTGTACTTCAACAGTTGCATCTGTGTGTCAATCAAGTACAGTGTCCATCAGTGTGGCCTTTCCTGTGATGATTCAATTATTTTCCTCTAAATAAGATTAGCATTTCCAAAGTAAAACTCTTCAGATACATATTTCTGGACATTATAAACAATGTAGTAACCTATTTCAAATACAGACTTACATTCAACCAGCAGATCAACTTATTGACCTTTAGATGCCAATGTCAATTTTCATTATGTAATTTACAGTTACACTTTTGCAAGTAAACATATTTTCATGCAGAAACCTGATTTGATCTGATCTTTGTTTAACGGGAACAGCACTGGGAAAGTCTAGAAAAAGGTAAATGTCTGTTGAGAGCAGCCCGACAAATTAAGAGTCTGTAGTTTTCTATTAAATGAGTAATTTTCACTAGATATGCAAACACTTTAAAATGCAAAAAAAAGAACAAAAAACAGATCACATTCAACCAAGGAAGGTTCTTCGTCTGGCTAAAGAAACCTGGAGGATTTAAGGTTTTTAGTGGTTTCTAACAGGGTTTGTCGTCAGTTATTACCAACTGTACAAGTCTGAAAGCCGTGCCCCAAACTACAATGTAAACACAGCTGCAAAAGCATTCATGACAAGAGCAATATGCATAAAGTAAATCGATCACACCTTCAAACTCATCCATAATCTGATTCATCATTTTTTCTATTTATCCTGAGATATGGATTAAAAGTAAATAATCTTCATACAGACACATGTAATTTTACAGCAATAAATCTACTGCAAGAACAACTGCACTCACACACAACGAGAGTGAAAGAAATGGTGCTTTGGTTTGGTTTGAAAATAATAAAACCATATTGGCAAGAAACACCTCTGAATTCGAGCTAAATACACCCAGCTTGCAGTCATGCTGTTGTACTACAGAGCGCAGTGTTTTAAAGTAGGAAGAGGACAGATGAAGCTTTCAGAAGCGGAAATCAGAAAAAGGCAAATATGCGTCTTCATCTTTTCTTTGAATGACAGAAAATTGGTTGATGATTAAAACTTGTGTTGTTTTCTCTGTAATGTGTCTGTCATGACATGTATTTTTAATTCACATCATCATTAGACTTAGAAGTATCTTCAATGTCCTGCATACTCTACACTACATGCCCATAAAAGTGAAGGAAAACAAAGATTTTCTAAACATTTCCAAACTTTTCTTAATAATTTTATTAGATGCTCACGTATTAAAACATTTTAAATTCTTTAGTCAAAAAGTGACCCTGCAGTGTGTGATCCTGAAGTGAACTATAATCTGTCCTAAAGCCTTGGTTTGTCTCTTCACTGTGGACAGTTTTCTTTTTATGAGCAGCAGCAACTGCAGCTCTTGAGCATTTAAATGCAAAAAGACCAGATTCAGAGCAAAACACAACAGTATGGAACGAGTAAACCTGGATTGTGTTGTGTTTACAAGGCACAGGTTAGGTGAACCACAGACTCATCTCCTGAGGAGGTCTAAGGTGTTGGCTTTAGAGAGATCTCAGTTTATCTAGACAGTACGTGCAGAAAATGCTGAGAGCTGAAAAAAAGAAGAAAAAAAAACAACCTAATACATGATAAAGATGGGAATTTTTGCACTAGTATATACAGGAAAATTACACCTTTTCAAACAAAAGCTTTGTGAACCACTGATAATCTTTGAGCTCAGGGAGCGGTGATGTTGAGTTAAAAAAAGGACAATCAGGTGTTGTCCAGTGAAGCTGTTTCAGTTTCATGTTCTTTACATCTCTGTGGTAAAGCTTACTCTTTGGAGTGAACTGTTCCTTATGTAGGCACTAGGGGAAAACCACGGCCAAATCAGAGCAGTGTCTCAGCGTCTCATCGGTCTCATCTCTCTCATCTGTCCCATCTGTCCCATCTGATATCCACCCTGTGACTGTGGGTTCTGAGCTCTTCTCCGTTTCAGTGTACCTGCAACACAGCAGCATGTCAGTACAACCAAATCCAGCTGACAGATGAATCAGATGGGATACATACTGAATAGATGGCTTATCTGTCTGGGGCGCCACATTTCATAAGCAAATTCATACATCTTAAGGCCTTTTTTTCCTGTGTTGTAAAAACATAGAGATACTGTACCTGGCAGTGGTTTTGGTGGGGGCAGTTTGGGGTTGCTGCTGGGAGTGTGTACACTGCAGATCTTGATGAAGCCAGCCATTAGCATAATAAGAGCAATACCCATCAACAGCACTGCCCACCAGTGAGCCTGAATAAGAGATTACATCCAGTAAATGAAGTAAGTGTAAAACCAATTGTGTGATGGAGTTCACCATCAAACCAGTTTTTAGAGTCAGGTCCAAGGAGTAGGAGAAGAGAGTACACATTCAGTACTGGTTAGGTTCACTTACCACTATCCACTCTGCGATATTCTCATAGAGCTCTGCGTTGAAGATGGCTTTCTTCAGCCTGGCCAGAGGTCCATCTGCGTCCACCAGTCGACACTTCATGAAGACGTCACAGTAGCCCTTAAAGTCATTGCAGGGTGAGCCTGGCTGCAGGGTGATGATGTTCTTGTCAAAGAAACTGTTCCACCTGTCTGAACCTGTGCTGCTGCAGGTGCTGGGGTTCACTGTGAACCAAAGAAGAAAATATATTAACATGATGCCGACTGTAGGATTAAGGAGAAAAACTCAAGGTCATCAAGTCATGACAGTTTAGTTGTTACAGTCCCGAACGATAAAGCATTGAAACCGAGCACTTGCAAAGACAAAAAGTGACATAATCACATGGCAACTTCACCTGCAACAAGGCTACTATTGGACAATACAGCTGTTTCACACTCATATGCACTGAATGCTGTGATGCTTCAATCGCCTCTCATTGGAAGTGTATTTTAAAATTTTACTGATTTCATGTTAAATTGAGCTGAATAATACACATATATATACATACATTCTACATAATGTCAAATACATTACAGAAATTGTAAATCTGAAAAGGCAGCACTGTCTGAATATATTTTACATGGATCCTTATTTTCCATCGAGCAGTGTGTGACTCACTTTTTTCCATGCAGCACACATGGCACAGATCTGCTGCCTCATCCAGGCTGCCCTCTTGGCTGGCACACGTACACACCTCCAGATTGTACTTCTCACAAATTGAACCGGAGCAGGCCTGATGAAAGAGGGCAGTTAGTGGGAACACATTGTCAATTTATGAACACACACACGTGACATGTGTAGAGAAAATACCAAACCATAAAATAAAAAAAAATACACATACCCCATTGAGGCAGACTTGTGTGTTTGAATGACAGGCTGTAAAGTTTTCTCTTGGTTCCGAGGTAGGGCACTGTGCTGTTGCCCCATTACAAAAGCCCTCCCGGGCACATTCAGATGAGTCTCTGCACTGTTCACCTGTACCCTTAAAACCACAGGTTGCTGTGCAACAAGGTCCTTGGCTTGGACTGCAGAAGAAAAATTACACAACAAAAATATAAACGCCTGCACATCTACAGACAGTTTATGTTGTGTACGTTACGATGTTCAAAACCTTAATATTTATAAACCACAAGAAAATATCTAACCTGCAGAGTTTGCCTGGTCGGAGTTTACATCTTTTACCCTCCTCTTCATTGGCACTGTAGCAGCAGGTGTCTTTACACTGATCACTGTAACCACAGTCACAGTCTTCTCCAGCTTCCACCATTCCATTACCACAGATAGGCTGTCCAGACTCTGTGCTCACAAACCCAATAACGTGAGGCAAAAAGCTTTCTTTTTTACACACACAGTGAAATGTGTAGATATTAATGATATACTTTACCAACAAAGCAATCGTTCCTTTTCTTTGACAGAACAGCACTTATATTGCGGATACTGCAGATGGAGAACTTGTTATTGTTCAACTTGTCCCCAGAAGTGGCCCTGGCGTACATGATGTAGTTTCCCAGCTCCTTTTTTTCCTGAGCCTTAGACTCACCAGGGGTGCATTCAATCCCAGAATCATGCTTCAAAAGGAGATACAGAGAAACTGAGCAGACAGACCTTTTTTTAAAATAAAATTCACTTTTTAGTCAACAAAGTAAAAAAATAGTGAAACATCCTAAACTGTTATTTTAACTCTCAAACGTAAAAATGCATACGTGGAAAGAACTGTGTACATGATCACAGTACTTACAGGTGAGCCAAAGTTGTGTCCAACCTCATGAGCAAAGGTGATGTGTGACACTTTAGGAGGAACATGAGAGGCATAGTTCTGTACAGTTATGATACCAGTATTAAGAGATTTCCTTTTCCCATCTGAGTAGAGTTTGCTCTTCTCACAGATGCCCCCAGAGCTTCCTGTAACGAGAAATCCTTCAGCTGTCAACATATTGCAACACTCGTTGGGTGCCACCTAGTAACATCAGTAGTGGACAAACACATCATTGGGTCGAACAAATGGAGTTTCTCAAATTGTCCTTGTATTCTTGGGAACACAGCTCATCTGATGAAAAGCTAAAATTGCTGAAAGCATGACTTTTGTCTTGAAGTGTTCAGAAAAACATCAGTGGAAAAATATGTAAATATCTGCTCATGCTTCTGCATTTTCTACAAATATAAAATTGCAACCAACTTCGTAGTGAGTCTAAAGCACTTCACAGCTCATTCTATGTATGTGTTAACTGCACATTTTCCCTCACTGCCATTAGTTCTACAGTCAGACCACAGCTCACATCAACCAATCTCCTGCCTTCAATCGATTCTCTTATCTCACAGCTTCACTAATTTCACTGTATTGATTGTCTGAGGCTGATGAAGTATCCCTCATGTCAAAATGGTGGTGGTGGCCGCATTCACATGAACCCACCACAACCATATTGTAAAACATAGCTATAGGTAAGCAATATTGTTATACATTACTAGCACAGGTCACATGATTTAACCTCTAAGATAGTGCTTACAGCACTTGTATTGGATGAAATCCTCTACTCAATTTTCATCTCTGTATACTTTATTATATGTAATGTATACAAATGTATAAATAAAAATGTCAATAGATACATCAAATTAAATATTTTTTAAATAATAGAATATAGATTTGTCTCTATATTATAGAGTAGATATAGTAAAAGAAAACAGCTTCTTTTTTTAGAGAAAATAGTTAGCATGTTTTGGGTTAAAAAGAAGCTTCATGAAAACAACAGGTAATAAGTACAACTAAGATATAAAGATCATTTAAATCAGTGTACAATCTGAGCATGTCTAGATTATGTTTGCACATGGATTATGTGTGTTGTACAAACCGGAGGGGGCTCCAACCCAAGCCAAACCAAGAACGCCATCGTCAAAGTCCCTGTCAGTGAAGACATAGGCCAGGCAGTAGTCATCATGGTTCTGTTCAGAGTTCAGCTCCAAAAACTTTTCCACCCCAATATTGCCAAAGCGAAAGGGGTTACTGGGGTCTCTGGTATCCTCAGTGGTATTTATCTGAAATGTAAAAAATGGAAACAATTATAGAAAGAGTTGGTATAATAGCAAATAAAAATATTTACAGCACAAAACCGCAAAATGTCAACTTCCTTATATTGCACAATATTAGCAGCTCACCCTGATCCTTTTCACCATGAAGCCAATGTTTCTAATGCCCATGAAATCAGTGGCTTGGTAAATGGAGTCAATGGCCTTTACATGGCTGGAAATCTAGAGAGAGTGATGAGAGGAACATTAGGAGGAAGTCAAATTAATGGTATAAACCTAATATTGTTGGAACAAAAAAAAAACATTCATTTCATTCTCAATCAGACAGTTTGAATCCATGGCATGTTTTCACGGTACATAAACAGGATACCTGAGCAATGACGGCCTCTCGAGACCGGTAGTAATCATAAAACTTGTGGTCAGTCTGGATAAAAAGCTGGCAAGTGTTCTTATCCTTCCCAGCAGCCCTTCTGCTCCTTAGAACCACAGGACCATCAAACCGCTCCTTTTCCAACACGTTGCTAACTTCCTGTACAGAAGAAAAACATCTCAATTATACAAAAAGTGAATTTTTTTTTTCTGAAGCAAGATTTGCTATAACATCTCTTTATTCATTTTGACCATTTAGATTTAGTTATAAGCAGTAAAATGTGAAAATAAAGCAAGACAGTAACAAACAAAAAAACAACTAAAAAAAGCTTTGATGAGAGCTACATTTTAACACCAATGACTTAAACTGTGCTTGAAAAACGTTTAGCACAGAGACCTTACAGAGAAAATTGTTTTTGTCATTACCTTTCATTTGGATTTAAATTGAACTGATAAAGATGGACATGTATGTAACTTGTATCGGTCATGTTAACTAATTAAAAAACAAATTATTGTCCCTCTGTCCTTAATTTGAAACAACACTGAACAAACCAAAATCAGATGTTAAAAGTATCTAAGCTGGTTTATGTCCAGCATGAACATTTCTGTACTTACTTGGGCCGGCTCCTCCACTGCTGATGCCTGGTACCTCCTCATCCTCTCAAACACAGTGTGGTCAGCACAGCCGCCCTCTGAGCCATACTTATGAGGATAATCTGCCAGAGAGAGCGAAGATAAAGAGGAAATAAACTATGATCTTAAACTGCATCAGGAATCTCCTTGTGTGTGCAGGAGGAAACGCAAGGTACTGTATATGAACTTTGGTTTCACCTCTCACTTCATCTAAGGTTAAAAGGTTTAAAAATGATAGTCAGTGCCAAAAATTAAAAAATGTAGAAATTACAGAGGTGGTCTGTTTATTTCTGCATAAAGTTTCTATAAACTCACCAATGTCATCTTCATGGTAGATGACGGAGTGGAAAGTGGGTTCCTTGTGCTGTAGATACCTCTCTGAGGGCTCAACAAAATAAGTCCCCTGGTGGGTTTTGATGAAGCCCTCAAAGCGCCCATTAACTAAAGAGCCGTGGGTCAACGTGCCCTTTTCACCTGCAACACAGAAGAGAAGGAATGAGCAAAATGTAAGCTCAAGGGGGATATAATTTAAAATATATTATATAATATATACTAATAATACAGTTTAGGTACAGAAATGCTTGCATTGTTTTTACAGCAATGAGGACAAAGAGGACCAGGATGTGACAGGACTGAATGCAGAGATGTGTGTGTGACTTGACACAGACAGAGGTTGCTACATGGTAGAAAAGGCCTACAAGAGACTTACCAAAGATTTCTCCACTGTAAATATGTGACGTATCTCCGGGTGACTCCTCTCCTGAAACTTCTATGACAAGATCTGGAGAGAATATCGTTGTATCTCGCTTCAATCGTAAGTTGAAATTTCTAAAAAGAAAGAAAGAAAAAATCTGGTTCATAATACAACACAATGTAATTTTTCTTATGGGTTTTAAACCTGGATTTATGTCTTCTTTGTGTTGAAGCAGACCTTCAAAACACCTTTACTGTGCTCATTCATCCAGTCAGAAAACTAAGTCATGAGGAGAAAAGACTTGGTGCAAACGCAGAAAACACTGTTTTAATCCTTTACATAACCATTATACCATCAAGCATCAGATGAGGTGCACATGAGCTCCACAAGTAACTGAACAGAGTACTGACTTCAAGAAACCCCTCGAGCCATCACATGGACAAAGAGATTCTTGGTGGAATTATCAGTCCAGAAACGTCACACAGGTCACATCTGAGCTGGTAGAAACTCTTCACTCATTTGAATTCTTAATTTATCAACAGAAACATTGACTAGTCACTGTGGCAAAAAAGACATAAATATCAAAAATAATAATTGAATAGTTTGGTTCAAATGGAGAATTTGCTTATATATATATAAATATATATATATATATATATATAACCACATTTTTAAAGCTTGGAAGGCAGAGAATGTTTTAATATTTCTAATGAAAAGAAAAATGGCAAAAGCTGGCAGACTTTTCTCTCCAATAAAGAGGAATTTGTGAACAATTAAAAACACTGAAATAACAGACTGGAATCAAGTAGAAAGAAAAGATCAAAAACAACAACGTAGGTCAGACAGCGAGCAGGATTTCCGTCGCCAGGATGAGTCCACTTTAACATCAACAAGCACGTTTGGTTATCACTTCCTAATCACACACATGACAAATGCACAAACACAAACTTTTTCCATGTATTCTTCGCCGAGACATTTATAGTGTTGTAAAACTACTGAGGTGTAATAAATAAAATCAAGACGATACCATATCATAGTTATCAATCATTTGCTACAGATCTATATAATGACTTGACTGTTTGTACTGTGAATTTAGTAAAGAAAAGAAACAAGATCACAACTTAAAAACCCGTTGCTTTAACACTGTGTAAAGGTTAGGTATGTAAAAATATGTGAAAAAGAAACAGGGTGAAAAGTATGAGTGTAGCCAAAAAAAAAAAAACTTGCTGAGAGATGAACAGAGAAGCAGCCAAGGATCAACTCAATGGTGCCCTCCTCAGAGAAGACGTCATAAATAATTAAGACAGACTGAGAGCATCTGACGGTCAGCACATTTAAAAAAAGAAAAGAAAATCAGTAGTGCCTTTAAGACACAGCTACAAAGAGAAAGTGCCCACACAGACAACTGTATACTAAATATGTTTAATACAAATACAAGAAAAACAAAAATTCACACTGCTGGCAGGACAGTAATATTTGTGGCAGATATTCCATGTCATTCTTCTCTGTTGCCCAGGGCCATAACAGCTCCACAAACTCCAGGAAGGAAGACAGAAGTCACACACCCTGCCCTAAATGTCGCACTTCTGATCTCGTTCTTTCAACAACAAAAACTGAATGGGCAAACAAACAACGATCCCATTCTTAGAAAGCACGACACAAAACTGTGCGTTGTTTCAGGTCCCGCAGTATTTTTAAGAAAGAGAAGAGAAAGTTACTTCTTTCTGACTCCTCTTTGTGTAAGAAAGCCCTCCATGAGACAATCATTTGCCCTGCCTCGTTCGACACCTGATCCAGCCACAAATATGCATGTGGGCAAACACAAGAGAGTTTTTCTCCTGTTACAACAAACCTCGACAGTGCCACATGGAGAGGCTCTCACTCACCTACAGTCAGAGCTGCACAGAATCATTTATGGTTAGATTGGCCATAAAACAGTAAAGATGATGAAGATGTTTACTAGTAAAAAGTCACTTGTTTAGCACCTAATAAGTGTGATGAGATTATAATATGCTAGAAAACAAGTCTTCAACAATGAGGTCTATTTAGCTGTTTGGCTCCAATGCCTCTTTTTTAGCCAAGATTGATCTGATTTCTATTGTTAGGTTTGGGGACATTTATGTTTACAGCGAGACTTGTTCTGTATTTGGTCATCTTTGGAAAGCACCACCTAATCTAATGAAGACAATGGTCATTGTCATTCTGTTAATTCATTATCAACTCCAACAGATACACTGACAGTAAACAAGCTTAGTCAGAGAGAAACAGACAGAGATGGTCAAAAACTGAGGAGCCGTACTGTTCAAGTCTTTGGAAATAAAAGACATTCGAAGCAGGTTAGGAAATTAACGTACTTAAACAGGGGTTGATTTTAATTCCTTCTATTTAATGCTAAATGTAGCAGGTGCAGCAAAACAAACAGCTATTGTTGGTATGATAAGACGAGCCAGCACAACCACATTTTTTATGTTATGTGTTCGGCTCTACACAGTCATGACCCGGGGTCTGCTGTAGCTGAGGCATGTGTGACTCAGTCCATCCATCCATCCATCCATTTTCATCCGCTTATCCATTACCGGGTCGCGGGGGCAGCAGTCGCCACCCAAATCACATTGCACCGTACCAACCCCCCAAACCTTCCTGTGGGTGGTGAGTCTACTGGAAGGTACCAACTGCCCTAACCGGGATTCAAACTTGCCCAGGAGGTGAACCCTGGGGTTCCACATCAATGACAGAGACATTGCCTCTGGGCCAAAGCGCCACTGTGTGACTCAGTCTGAGGTGTAATCACTGTACTCTGAAAGTCTCTGGAATGTTTAATTGTAGACTGTAGGGACAACAAAGATCTCTGTTGAGCAATGTTACATTTGTAGAAGGTAAAAACAGCTAAAAGACCTTCTATAGGATTCACAAACTAGTCATAGGCAATGAAAATGTGAACAGATAAATAACGCCTGAAAACACCTTTGTCCAAGACCGTATTTGCTTCATGAGTATGTGTATGTGTTACTTCTTAAACTGACCTTCCATGGGCGTGAAAGTTGAGGTGCACAGTGTTGTCGTGAGGAGACAGTGCCCTCCTGACCCTCTGGTGGTTCCTGTGGACTTCCTCTGTGTCATAGGACAGACCTTCATAGTGGCTAATATATTTGTTTAGGCGGTTTTCAAGTTGACCTGAAAACAGACAAATATCCATGCTTATTATTTGTCCATGTAAATCTTAACTAAGACAGTGACATAAATATAATTATATTGCATCACAGTACATTATCACACAGTTTATTACGCTCCCATCTCCCAGACACCAAACCAAACAAAAAAAAAAGACAGACAGACAGAAAAATTGTCTCAGCTTTTCATTTCAAATCTTTCAAATCTACAGCAATCTTTTGTGAAAAAACTATGTATATAAAATAGAATTATGTGCTCTTCCCATAGTATCAACTATGCCTTAATGTAAAAGAAAAAAACGTTCTGCCATTATACATATCAGCACCTGAGAAAGAATGTCCCACCTACAAAGAAACTTTTTGGATAAATTGTCACTCTCTTGTTAAAATTAAAAGACTAATTCAGCTTCATGGTAATCCCACA